TTGTCAAGTAGATTTTCGCCGACGAAATTTAGTATGCATTAGTGAATCTTTTTTAGGCCTTTTTTTCATGATGTTGGTGCCCTGATATGCCCACTTTACACTGGTATCGAAGAAATTTTCTCACTTTCCTTACTGGAAATACTAGAAATATTTTAACGGGAAAATTTCACGTAAGACGTTCCTCGCTAAAAAATGAAAAATTTGATCAAAATATAAGCAAACTACAAGCTTTTTATTATATCAAGCAGTATGAAAGTATTCATTTTTCATATTGTGCCGTATTTTTATGTTCAGATCATGACTGCAGACCTGCAAGAACACAGATCTCTAAGTTTGTTTCCAAGAAAATGTTTTTCTTTCAGTTTACTTAATTCTATAATTTTTCGATTTCTTAAAAGTTTTTTTTTTCTCAGGAAATAATGCTTGAGGAACAGGGAGATCGACACGATTTGTTGATGGATAGGCAGAAGATGCAGTATGTCGACGAGAAAGAATTTTAGCTGGTGCATCAGATGTTGAATATTGCTGTCGTGTGAATGTTGGATATACAATAGTACGGCTACGAAAATTTTTTTATACTTGTTCCTTCTTTGCCTTTCTCTTCCATCTTTTTTCGTTCCTGTGATATTTTCTTTATTTCTTTGCATCTTGAGTGGCGTAAGTGATGCGTTAATGTGTACATTGATCTTTCTGATATATTTGACATTTTAACAAGACGATCTTTCGCATTATAAAGAGGAATGATTGGAACATTCGTCTCACTTTCAACAAAATCAATAACATAAAACATCAGTTATTCGATTCCTTGTGCAAACTCATGACCTGTTGGCATTGTAACTAAATATACTGTTTATAACATAAAGCATGCGCATATCAAACAGGAAAAAGAAAAAAAATGATCGAGAGAATTATCGCAAACATATACTGTTTTTTGTCTCTTCTGTCTATCTTGTCATAATATGCTGACAAACACATACTAAGAGAGTGACTAAACAGTGTGATGTAAGATTTCGAAAAGAAATAATTTGCTTTTATATTGTTTCGTATAGTAAAAAACATACATTTTGCTTATAATTTGATCAAATTTTTCATTTTTTAGCGAGGAGTGTCTTACGTGTAGTTTCACTGTTGAAATATTTCTGGTATTTCCAGTAAGGAAAGTGAGAAAATTTCTTCGATACCAGCGTAAAGTGGGCATATCAGGGCACCAACATCATGAAAAAAAGGCCTAAAAAAGATTCACTAATGCATACTAAATTTCGTCGGCGAAAATCTACTTGACAAAATACTTTGAATGACGACGTTCCCGCATAGGTATCTGCCCCCAATCCTCCTCTATTGAATGATGAAAAGCGCAGTTCAAAATAACTTCTCAATCAAAAGTTATATCACTTTCTTCTACCTGCCTTTTTTATTTCGATAGTAGTATTGACGACCATGATAATTTAGACGTTTCTTTTGCACTTGTCTTCTATTCACTTAATTATCGAATAGACTTGTGCAGAAATAAGGAAAAAATCTCTTCTTTTTGTCAATACAAATGTTATAACACACTCTTATCTATTGCTACATCTATAAAACACTTGAAATGACAATTTTTGAGTATGTACATGATAAAAACGAGTGTGATACACATTTCTTTTCTTTATCCCATGGTAACGCTGATGTTCTGTCTCTGTTGGATATTTTAATAATGATAATAAACTTGATATAATTGTTGTGAATCCCCCATACAGAAAATAATATATTATAATCAAATTTTTCAGGATTAACTGATTTTAATTATGAATACACATAGTTCAGCTCACGAACCGGTTCATATCCTCACCTACCATGAAATTTAAATGGAAATGTCTCAAGAAAGATTTGTAGTTTCTGAAACAATTATTCTGTCTTTATGTTACTCTGTTTAGCTTAATTTCCCATGTATGTCTCAAACAGTATAGAAGCTGCACAAAGAGATGAAATATAAAAATGTGTGAAAAGACATTGAGTTTAAAATTGTTCACGGATATTTTCAAGGATTTGTTCAAGATATTTCGAGTCTTTTCCAAGTGAATTGATGAGACGTTTGCGAGCCTTTTGGACGACACCATGCCACATCATTGTCAATGCTCCAAAGCGAGCTTCAAGCACAGCAATAACAATAATCGAGACGAGAACCAGTTGATCAATTTGATTATTCCCGCAAGTAAATTCATCCAGTGTTTTTTTAGTTAAATTCTTAATATCCTCTGAATCAAAATCCCAAAGACCATCAAACATTTGTTTATTGATCAAAAATCGAACAAAATCCTGATCATTTGATGGCCATATTTCTTTTTTTAAAGATATTTCTTTCTTCTTCTTCTTCTTCTTGGACGTGGAGTCAGAGCAGGTATTGTCCTGATCATTTTCATCATCCAAATGAAGACGTTTTGATTGAGAAATTCGAATATTAAGAGTACTTGATCGAAGTTTAGATCTATACTCGGAGGTATTACACATGAGTGTTTGATCAGAACTGAATGATGATGATTTCACATTGGAATATTTAGTATTGAGATATCGACAAGGACGTCTAACACCAGACGCTAATCCGCCAGGACCAGTTCCAAAAGGACTTTGAATGGACTTTTGTAGGTGCTGATCATCGGCAGAAATCTGGATGGGCACTTCACGAAGGGCCATGTTCGTATTACTTGCATCCATTCGTTTTTCAACTCCGACAAATGCCGTATAAGGACTGAGAATATTATATTTCAATGATAATGCAATAATACGTTGTTTCGAATCGATTGTCAGTTTTTCCGTATTTGATGACTGTAATTTAGCATGTTGTAATTCGAGAATGAGTGCTTTAGCTGCAAGACGAGCAATTGTATCGTTCTCACTTACAATTGGTATATGATCAACTTTAGCTATACCTATCGAACGATGATTAGGTTCAGTTTCTAGTTCCACAGATGAGTTATGATCAAAAGGAATAGTTTTGTCGTCTACTAGAGCGTAGACAATCAGACGATCGTTGGCATAGACTGGTGGTACATGAGTTGGAACACTTTGAACTGAAACTCCAAGATTCCATTTAACGTGAACATTGGTAATACATGGTTGAAGTGCTTTTTGTAATTGTTCTCCAACGTATACATCAACACTAGCATTGGGTGGAATAAAAACAAACCGACCGTTGGTTGCACGAGCGAGACCTTTCACTAGTGATCGACTTGGTGATTGTCCTAGACCAAATGAAAATATACGAGTCGATGTAGCCATCGAACGACATAGATCGAGTACTTCTGTTACGTTAGAAATTTCACCATCGGTTAAAAGAAATACTTGACGTGAACGTCCTTGACTAGGAGAATATCGTTCAATCCATCGCAACGGTTTTAACTACACATAAAGATAAATATAAGAAGAGGCTACAGTAAACAATCTAAAACTTACTAAGTCAGTTCCGCCGAGATCTGCTTTCAGCCGTTCGATAAGTTGCTCAGCTCGTTGTGCATTGGTTTTATTATAAAGTACTGTGTTTTCATTGAATAAAGTTTTGTATTGAGAACCAAATCGAATGATATTGAAATGACAACCAACAGGTAAACTTTTGAGAAAGAGTAACATGGCTTGTCGAGCGAATCCAATTTTATTCTCATCTTGCATTGATCCACTACAGTCGACGATAAAAATAAATTCATTCATTAAACCACTTTCTGATGCTTGATGACATTCTTCTTCGGTTGGAATGAAAGCAGCCATTATTGCACCAGTTTCTACAGCTATTATAGTACTATTTCGTTGTTTGGAAAGCTCAATATTAATTAGAATATCTCGATCTAAATGAGTATTTTGTTGTGAAAATGTTACAATATAAGCATCTTGTTGAGTAAGGTCGATTTCGATCGGATGTGAAGATGAACTAACTCGAGTAATTTGTTCTGCTCCAGATCCAAGTGTCTTTCCAATATGACAACGAAAATCAATAGTATATGGGCTTGATTGAACATATTTAGATGTAGTACCAGCTGGTGATGCAAGTCCACCTTTGTCAGGATTATAACGTGGTGCAATGGTGGTAGGTACAACAAATCGAATAAGTGATCCTTGAACAAGATTCAATTCTGTTACATAACCAATAGTAATTGTACATTCTTTTGATGGCGGTAAAGCGCCGACATTGATAATAAAATTATCTTGAGATTTTTCATCTTGTTCTAGTAGATAAGCTCCATGACCATCTTGCAATGCATTATTATATTCTTGCTGTGCTTCTTTTTTCTCTTTTAATTGAGCACTAATTTCTCGATCATCAATTTGTGCTTTAAATGCGTAGATTGCTGCTTGTTCTTCAATTGGAAAACAATAAACCGCTTCGATTGGTGTTGCTTCATCATTGTAAAATATTTGTGTAATAGTCACATCAGCAGCAAATGCACGAATTTTACTTTCAATGACTATTTGTTTCAAAGGCACATAGTTTACTTGTTGTTGTGCAAGAACAGTAGATACTGAGAGGTTACGTTTGATTCGAAGCATGTTAATGTTTATGTGTGCGTGTACATGTTGTCTCTTTATATAGTGTTCGATTTGCGTCAATATTAGAAAGGTGAAGAAAAACATTTATTACATTCACATGATTCAGACAGTATGTCTTGAGGGTGTGATGAGCAGCTATGACGCGTTTCGTCCTTCGCTCACAAAGACTCATCAGATGGCTTACAATTTCGTATGATTCAATTCAAAATAAACAAAATTCAATTGAAAAAACTAAATTTCATTCATTTCAAACTAAATACACACTGAAAAGGCTTTATTCTGTTATAAATTGAACAAAAAAAGACTTTTCTATTCAATCTAGGGTGTGTTTGTGGTTCATACGGCATCTTCGCCCCCGCCTTTTTGGGAATGAAAGTATGGCTGATGATAAAATACTTACAAAGGAAGCTCACCCTCACACCCTAGTATTTTATTAATAACTATTGAAAAATATTTGATGGTATATCAAAGTTAACAACAAAACCTTTGTCTAAAACAAGTATACGATCACTTCTCATAACTGTATTTAATCGATGTGCAATTGTTAAAACAGTTCGATCTTGAAATTTCTTTGCAATTATATCTTGAATTTTTTCATCAGTTTTATGATCAATATTTGCTGTTGCTTCATCAATTAATAAAATTTTACTTTTTTTTAAAACAGCTCGAGCAATACAAATTAATTGACATTGACCAACACTTAAATTCGAACCACTTTCTGCAATATTCATAAGAAGACCATTTGTTTGATTTGAAACAAATTGTTTTAATTGAACATCTTCAAGTGACATCCAACATTGTTCGTCAGAATATTGATTAAATGGATCAAGATTATATCGAAGTGTACCATTAAATAGAATTGATTGTTGAGGAATAACACTTAGATGTGATCGTAAATGATTAAGTGTAATTCGACTAATATCAATATCATCAATAAAAATTATTCCATTTATATTTATTCGAGGAAGAAATCGTAAAATACTTTTAAAAAGAGATGATTTTCCAGCACCAGTACGACCAATAATTCCAATTTTTTCACCAGGTTTTATTTCAATTGAAAGATTTTTTAAAACTGGTTCTAATCCAATTCGATAACATACTGAATAATTATCGAATTGAATTTTTCCATTATTGGGCCAAGTTTCTGATGTAATTATTAATTTTTGATCACCTCCATAATCTTCTTCTAATGTTAGTTGACCATATTCATTAATACGTTCAACACTAGTCATTAATATATCTGCTTCAGTTATTTTTCGAATTGTTCGTTGAGGCCAGTATGAAACAGATATTGCATAAGCTAAAGTAAAAGCAATTCTTGATGGATCTATTTGATTATGAAAGAGAATAACAAGTATTGTAGCAACAAACATGATCAAAGCACCCATAAATTCAAGTCGAAATGAAAACCAATTTAATGCTCCATAAATATTAGTACAAGCATTTGTATTTCTATCTATTATATTAGTAAATAAATAAATAAAATAATTTTGAACTTTTAATGCACGAATCGTAACAGTTCCATTTAGAGATGACATAACATGATTTGATATAGGACTACGAGTTTTACTTTCAAATTGCTTTAATTGATATAATGATGTTTGATAATAATGAAAAAGTAGAAGAAAAATAGGAATTAATATTAATAATAATAATAATAAATATGGACTTGTAAAACAAAGAATAACAAATGAACCAATTAATGTTATTAATCCTAATAAACCTGTTAGTAATGTTCTTGGTAATAGTTCATCAATTATTTCTTGATCTTTACTTGCTCGATTAAGATTTCTTCCACTAGGATTACTTTCAAAAAATTGCATTGATGTATATAATAAACCTTTTACCATTTTATTATGAAAATAATTTGTACCATTTAATATAATATAATAAAAATAAATCAAACATAATAAATTGATCAAAACTGTTATTATTGTCAAAATAAAATATGAAGAAATGAAATTTATTGAATGACATTCATATGTATTAAATTGTTTTAAAGATTTACTAAGCCAATAATTAGTACCATCATAAAATATTTCAGTTAATATAAATAGAATAATTAGAGAAAATAAACCAGATATATGTAATGGTGGAGAAGTAAAAAGATGATACCATAGAGACCAACTAATATTTTTAGTATTGAGTGGTTTTTCTTCAACAATAATTGATTGAATATCTTCAATATTTGGTTTATCATTTAACACATCAGATAATAAATCCGATGTTTCTGGATTGTTTACTTGCTTTTCTATAATTTTATTTTGATTTAAATAATCATATGGATAAATTTGTCCTTGTGAAAGATAAATAATTTGATGTGCATCTCTAAGAAATTGTGTTTGATGAGTAACTAATAGACGAGTTTTATTTTTTAGTAAACCATTTGGACCAAAACATCGATCAAAAATTTGTTTTGCTACTAGTTGATCAACAGCAGCTAATGGGTCATCAAATAAATAAATATCAGCATTTGTATATAAAGCTCGAGCTAATGATACTCGTGTTCTTTGTCCACCACTGAGATTCTTACCTCTTTCACCAATCATTGTTAAATCACCTGCTAATCCTAATAATTGAATATCAATATCAAGGCAAGTAGCATAAATTATATCTTTATAACGTTGTTCATCATATACTTGATTAAGAAGAATATTATTTCTTAATGTATCAACAAATATCCATGGTATTTGAGCTGAATAAGCAAATGAACTATTGGTTGTATCAATTTGACCATTAATTAAATTTATTTCACCAAGAATAGCTTGAAGAAAAGATGATTTACCTGATCCAACTGATCCAACTATACCAATTAATGAACCTGATTCAATAGTGACATTAAGTGATGATAAACAAGATTGATCATTAGACCAAGAAAATGATGCATTTTTCATAAAAATTCCTCCTACTTGTTGTGAATTATTAATTGAAGATATTGATGGTAAATATTTCTCTTCATGTTGCATCGTTAACATAAGAAGTGATTGTATTCTTTTAGATGCCAACTGTGCGACAGTTAATTTTTCAAGACTATCTGGAAAAGAATACATAAATCCATCACGTATTAAAGAAAAAAAAGCTAAAGTAGTAAATATATTGATCGAATCTATAGAATAATTTAATAACCATGTACTAGAAAATGTCACAAATGCTAATATAGATGTTGATACAAAGAATTGATTTGTATATAATGCTCGAAAACGAGAAGCACATCGAATACTATCAAGTTCATTTTGACGTAATTGATATATTTGTTCTTGAATTAATTTTTCCCAATTATACATTTTAATAATATCACAATTATGAATTAATTCATTAAAAGCATGTACACGTTTATCACTAAAAGATGTTGTTATATTACAATATTTTCCTATTTTATAACAAAGAATACATTGTATAACAATAGATATAATCATTATAATAAATCCAATTAATGTTGGTATCGGTTTCATAATCCAACAAAGTAATCCAAAAATAATTATAGCTTCCATTGGTCCTTGCCAAAGTTTATGTATATAGGAAAATGCTTGTTCTAATTTTTTCGTATCTTGATTGATGATATTAATAATATAACCAGTATTCATTTGTTGTAATATTGTTAATTTTGTTAATATTAACTGTTTATAAATCATTGTTAGAAACGAATTACGAATTCTTATACCAATACGAATAGAAAGAAAATCTGATTGTCGATAGAATATGGTATTTAAAATTGCGAATATAAATAATAAAATAGCATATATATAAATTGTAATGAATGATTTCGGATGACTAATAATTTTTAAAACTATTTGACGAACAAGTAATGGTTGAATAATACGTGTTAGTATAAATGGAATATGTAATAGACCGACATAAATATGTTCTTTTCGAAATTGTGTAAAAATAATTTTCCATATTGGTTTATTAGTCCAGTCATAGGACTCGAATCTATTTAATAGAATAGAAGATTTATCGTTGTAGGGTAAATCATCAAGATCATTTTCATTTAATGACCTTGTATAAGCTATAGAAAGAAGAGGTTTAATCCACCACCAACATATTAAATGTAACCAACGAGTCCAAGATGATTCAGCCCATTCGAGATATGATGTTGATTGATTCGAACATTTCTTATTATTACCATCATAATATGATTTTTTCGTATCGATCAATTTTTCATATTCGTTATTTGATTTTGTAAAAATATTTTGCATCCTCACCAATTCGTTCGTTTACCTTTTGTTTTGCTAAATGCACATCTGTCTTATGCATAACTCAATCTGATGAAAAAAGAAATTATTGTGATTATTCAAGCATACTATTAAAAAATAATATATGCAGTCAGACAAAATAATTATTATGACAATCTACGAACAGATAGAAATATATCGTTGGGGCAAAAATATGACAACTATAAATATAGAGCATAAAATGTCAACTTAGTATACACTTGAAATGCGGAAATATTTAGTCGTATTTGCGAGACTTTTTTTTATTTCAAAGTAGAAAATTAATTTGAAGGAACTTGGTGGTGATGAAGAATATGTTCCCTCGACTGAAAGGAGGGTCATATGAAAAAAAAGTTTGTTTGTGTCAGGGTCAAAGGTCAAAGGTCAAAAAAAACATTCTTTTGAAAATACTCAAAACTTCAATGCTGAGGCTCGAGGTTGTCTGGAGGAGAGGTGAAGGGGCAGGAATGTGATAGAAATGAAGAAAACATTTCAACCGCACCTGAGAGGAGGGCTACATAGAAGAGTTGATAACGAAAAAGTAAAAACACTCGGTTGACTGTCACATACTAAAGGCCAGTAATCCAAAAATACGTTCATTCACAAGGTACATACTGGAGAGCAATCTTAAATGCTGAGCTTCGATATATTGAGAGTTTTTGTAGGCCTTTAAGCCTTTCGATTAAGGAGATAACCTCAAATGTTCGGACGAGGATAATCTTATCCATGAGATGTTGATGGAATGCTAATTAGTTTTCAATACTTTTTAGTAGCACACGGGTAATTATATGATAGATAGGGACAGCTTTGGAGCGGCGAGTTGTGAGTGGCGCCTGGTAATCTAGCCAGTTACCAAAGTATCAACAATCCGACACGTTCGAATGCGAAATATGTATAGAGTCTCATTTGGTTTTACCGAAATTATCTTTCTTTTAGAAAAAGGAGGACATTTTTAAAAGTGCAAATCCATAATGGTCATTTATAGCGAACTTCTGCTTCCTGTGAAGAGTAATTGTCAGTCAGGAATACCGAATAATTAAAAGGAACACAAGTGATCTTTTGGTTCTTTTGAAGACTGTGAGGCGAATGAAGATCAGTTTCTGTGAACCCCTTCAAAATCGCTCAATGCTTCCAATAAATAGTTATTTTTATCTATTAGAATTTTGCCGAGAACAGCAGCGAGATAATGACTTATTTTGTTTTGATTCTTCACTTTTGAAAGAAAGATAAACTAATCGCGGCACTTCAACATTAAATAACAAGAAATCATGATAGATAGGCTTTATCGAACCTTTTTTTCGTGGCAACATTATATATTCTGAGAGAACTGACATTTGTATTGATGCTTTATCCTAGCCAATACTGCGAAGATGGCTCAGACCATTTCTAATCGACAAAATAGTAGTATTTAAAGTTTTTCAATTAAGATAAGTTGTCCAGTATATTTTTTATATAACCAGTGTAATTTTTCAGCCCGGTTCCATCTGAGAAAACCGAATAACTTTATTAATAGAAAAACATATAACTACACCTTCGAAAAACTGTGAGCTTATGCTATAAGTGATTTTTTGTGTACTTCAGGAGATGGTTTTTGCTGAACTGATTGGACAGCCACGTTTTAATGAAAACGATTAACTCAGATATCTACGTTTCACGAGCGAGAACATTTTTCAATCAAGAAGCAGTCAGTAATTCAAAATCAGCTATATTTTTCTCATTAGATATAATAAAAACGATTTCTCCATGATGAAAGATTATACTAGCCACATACACCTCCACGGGAGTATCAACCTTATACAGTTCACAAATCTGCTAAAATTCTATCGATATATATAAATCTAAGAGTAAGTTTTTCCTAAAAATCAAGGATTGTCAGGTACTCACACCTGGATACATTGCTCCAGCGCTATATTAAAAATTACTGGACCTTTTGCTGAACGCTGTGCTGACAATGATAGGCTCATGAGTATGATTGCATCAGACTTTGATGAAAAATCATTGAATAACAACTCATTCAACCAAGTCTTATATTTTAAGCATGAATTTCAACTCAACTCTAAAAGATATTCAAAGAAATTCCTTCATTTTGATCAATAAAATAAATTGTTGAAAAGTTGGCTGGATTCTGTATTATCGACGTTGCTATATCTTCCGAGTGTTTTAAACCCCGACTATCTTATACCAAAATGTGTACCGAAACAAGATCTATCTATGGTAAAAAAATCAGCGTGGCATCAGTTACACAGTGTGAGAAAAATGTAAAATACCATTCGTATCGTAGTTCGTTTTCATCAATGTTTTACTTGTATCGCTTTTTATACCATAAAGTATTGTTACTTAAATCGAGTCAATTTACAGCTTATGTTGCATTCTATCGAATGAAACGTTCCCTTGCTCGAAATAATCGAAAAATACAGAGTTACTCTGAAAACATCAATTTTTAATCCTCAAAATTGACCCTAAAAACTTGTGTTTAGTGGCATTTTTCATAGCACAAGTATTTAGAGAAGAAGCGAGTATCTCAAAAGCTGTTCAACAAGAAAACGACAACGATTTGGAAAAGAAAAAGGAAAATAAAAGTCACTTTCAAATTGATATTATTAATTTATCTAATATACATTTTTTTTCTATCAATTTAGATGATTCTTCCGATAGAGTTAAAGCAGAGGCTTATGCTGAACTTAATCAAATAGAAAAAGCACTCGAATTTTATCAGAAATAGATTAAAAATAATACAGAAAATCATTTAAATTTGACTGTTTTCAGAGCTTATTATAGTTAGTACAATTAAAGACAATATGCATACACATACGAACAAAAAAGCATATCAATTTTTCTACCAAATTACTTTATTCACTAGTGAAAACGTTTCGCGAAGATCATATAGACTATTTAGACACATTAGAAATAGAAGTCTCATATTTTCAATATAAAATTTTGTATAATAAACAATTATTATATCCCAATAGCAGTCTCGCTTATATTTCAGCTTTTGATTTGTATTTTACCCATTCAAAAGGGAATACTGATATATTAAAGAGACTTCGAGAAAACATACTCGATATGTATACTGCAAATGGCCTTTCGTCTGAAATGATTCTCAAAATTGCTCAGCAATTATCATTATCGGAAGATAATATAAGTCAAACGTGTTTACAGATGGCGACAATGTATCGCGACAATAAAATAGCCGACTTTGCTGACATTGATGGTGATACAAGTAATGAATCTCGGTGCATTGCTTTAGAGTGGTATCGAAAATGTTTAAATATTTCAACAAATATGTTAACAAAAGCAACTTGCTATTATAATATTTTATGTCTTTATAAAGATTTTATTCTTGACGGTGACAAAGGAAAAGCTGATGTTCAAAGTATGATCAGTTTATTACCTGAATTGAATGCAATTGATCAACATTTATTGCTCGATTTGACATGTCGATTTATGAAAGAGTATGATAACAGTCAAGATTTTTATGAGACAAAGATTTATAGACAATTAGAATAACTTGTCAAAGATTCTCTTATCAACCTATTGAAAACGAATGATAAACTCAAAATTGGTTGCTATCTTATGGAATGCGGTGATCGAGTAAGTGCTGAAAAATATTGGAAATCTATCATTGAACAAGTTGAATTAGATAAATCTCAATGAGTTCTATCACTTGTTCATGATTATTATTCAACATTTGATGAAATTCTCGATGCGATGAAACATCCAGAGAATGAACTCAATTCACTTCTCGATCATTAATTACAGCTTATGAAAAAAAAAGGTGATTATATGTTAAAACAGAAAAACAGTGAGAATTCAGTTATAGAAGGATGTAAACCTGCTGAAAATATGTTTAAAAAGGCAATATTTTTTTATGAAACGACTTGATAAGGACAAAAATACTGCAAGAAGCAATGATTTGAGTGAAAAAAAATAAAATACTCATACCAAACTGACTATTCATTAAAAATACGTACAAGCAAAATCATTTCTTAATCGTATCGAGTAAAAACCATGGCAAATTAAATTGTACAAATGATATGTCATCTGTCAAATATTTCGACGACCATGTTCTTCCGAGTCTTTACATCGCTGTTGTAAAGAAATAAAATCAAGAGGAAAAAACATATTTTATTCAAATCTCAAATCTAAATTTAGAGTCTATGAGTAATTAATATTTTTTCAATGTCTAAGGCTTAGTGTTTCAGTGGCAGAATGTTCGCTTTGGAAGCGAGCGACCCAGGTTCGATTCCTGGCTGGGCCCAGTTTTTTTTCTCTCTCATTTCTTTTTCTACAATCGACATCTCTTTTACACTTTTTTCTAAAATGCATCCTATTCATCAAATAGCATATAGCATTTCACATTCTATCGTTCTCTTCTGATGCAATAACGCAAAGAAATGAGTCATATTTCAATGAGAGAAAGCAAGTAACTATTGTTCGTTTTAAATTTTATCTTTCTGTAGAATGGTTTGCTATTCTATGCAGTGAATTGCGCCTATGTGGAAAATTTTTATCGTTTTGTTTTCCAAAAATTCAGGTGTCCTTTTATAAAGCTTAATCAGATAGAAAAAGGCTGTTGATCATCTAGCAATCAATGATTACTGTATGTGCACTGCAAAAGGATACGAGTAAAAAAAATGGGGCCCAGCCAGGAATCGAACCTGGGTCGCTCGCTCCCTAAGCGAACATTCTACCACTGAAACACTAGGCCTTATATGTAAATCAATTGCTACTATTGTACATAAAGGGAGATCTGCGATTAACGCATCCTGATGACGTGGGTGTCAATTTAGAGAAATAATAACATCCCCCATCACACTCCACTCTCACCCTTTTGTGTTGTTTCTGGAAACGAATAATTAGACATGGTCGAAAATTAGCCATTTTTCTTTATATCAATTCATATGAATAGAAAGACTACAGATTTATTCATGAACGCACGAATGAACGAGAAGGAGATTAAGACATATAATGTAGTAAATTCCAAAGATAGTAAAATCTATTATTCTTTTTCTGAGAATATATCGAACATAATCAATCTGAATACTTCAAAACAAAAAACTAAATTGTCTAGATCTACATTTATTCGATAATTATTCAGTATTTGCTTCGTTCCAAAAATAATTCGCTAATGCACGACAAATTCTTTTGTAATTACGATTTAATTGTGGATATAGAGGTGAATTTTGTTGAAAATCAGCATGTAACTTTTTCAAATGAGCAATACCAAATATCATCAAACTATAATTGAGTTCTTCATAAGGAATTATTTCAAACGTCACAGTCGTATATCGATTTATATATCGTTGTAACCATGCATCGAGAAATGGTTGATCATTTGAATTACAAAATATTTTGATTTCATGAAGGCTCACTGGAATGTTTGTTACACGATTTAACCAATCTTTCATATTGTCATCCCAAACAAATAATGTAATCATTTTCTGAAGGTTTGCTTCGGCAAATTGTTGACATTGTACTGTATTATTGAAAGGTCTAATGAAAGACATAACATTAGCATTCGGTAATGGAATAACTAATGAAACCCCATTCTGTTCATAAAGTAAGAAGGTCCAATGAGTTGCACGATTATATAAACTAGGATCAAATGTAATACTATCTGTAGTTTGCATCTACAATGAACAATAAAATCTAGTATTATCAATAGAAGAACGTTAAAATTAATGCTGCGTTTATTTAAAATGAATCATTATTATATTTTATACAAAAATAGTGCGACCGATATACCGAGGAAACAACCCAATCTATTTGTGATCATCATCATTATTATGTAATACAGATTGAAACGCTTTTTTCAAATTACTATGAACTTGATTTGCTTGTTGTCTTATTATTTCCGCCATCAACGTATCACCAGATTCAGCATAGAGATTTTCTTCTTCTTTATAACATCGATATATTATATCACCCAGTTCGAAAACAAGATCTTCACCGTTTTGAAATCTTTCAATATGATTCACTTTACTTTTATCTTCTTCAAGGATGAAAATTGATTGTGTGTATTTGGATTTTTCCTCCATTTTAGCAGCCATTGAACTGCTGACAAAAAAGTATGTAGATTTATTCGATAATCGATTAAAATCATTGATTTCAATATCATCATAAATGTGAATCGCTGGTTTTACCATTTTCATCAATGTTTTTAACATGGCATTAGCTTGTGGATCCAAATGTTTTACTATATCAATGAGAATGAATTCATATTTATTGATACCACCTCGAAAACCAAAACAACTCATTCATTCATTGCTAATTAAAAACACAAACACATACCTTTTGTAGTTTCTTTCTTCTCTGCTATTGTTTGTTTTCCACAATATGATTCAATATTATCATTACGTTTAAAACCTTCTAGATCCGTTGTCAATATATCTACTAACTTGTTGATATTCGAAATCATCTTACATCGATTTTTCGGAAAGTTTTTCAGCCATTCATTGTTATTTTCATGATTTATTCCGTAGACATAGATACAGATGATAGATGATAACGAATGAATATGGGATTCATTTTGTTGGCCCTGTTCATTTGAAATAATCAAAACAGTATTTCTGTTATCGTTACATTCCATTAAATATTGTTCAAAGTCATTATAATTGCCTGTTGCAATAGCACATGGTAGAATTGATTCTAACCGTTTTATGATTGCTTGGATACGCGTATTTCGTTCCATATTTTTACCGATCCAAACAAACGAAGTATTTTTTATCACATTGGTAGGATTACCGTTTATTTCGTCCAAAACATCAACTTTCGCGTTCTTGGTTCTTTTAATTTGGTGCGCTGAAGTTGATTTACGTTTCATCGTTAGTAAACTGAACAATTGTTTATAACTAAGAAGAAATTTTAATAGATCTGTAAGCAAAAAACTTTTGATTTATTATTTTGCATACATTACATCAATGTAATAACTAGCTGTTAAGATAAAAAGAAAATCAAATATAATTATTTTCTTTCACTATTTATATGTCGATGCAGTCATAAAATACCTTGGATCAGATAAGAATGTGATCACATAAATCAATACTACGCATCATACTTACTTAATTTCACTTCTTTTTACGCATATAAAAGATAAAATTCAATAATGATTTTATCGTTCCCCAAATGTTTCTTACTAATGGCTTGTGAAAGGTAACAAAGATCAGCGAAAGCATGCAAAAAGTGGCTATCGCTAACCTAAAGAATGATTTCTTCACGGAACTATATGAATCTTCTCTAGCCTATTTTATACAGTCCATTTTAAATCGATTTCTTCTTACGTGCTTGTCAAGAAGTGTGCACTTAGCTTAACCCTTAAAAGCCAAAACGTCCCTTCCAAGGGACATTGAATTAATGGCTATAGAACGAAGGAATTAAGTCGTATCCACAAGAGCTACTATTTTGTCGAATGAGAACAGCCAGAGTGATAGTATCATAAGAAAAAAATCGTGTAAAAATAGTGGTCCGACACCAAAGTGTAGCTTTTAGAGTGTATGACTTTTCAACCATAATTGGTTACTTGGATGTTTCTGTCTGATGATATATACAACGTGGATTTCGAATGATATCATTAGAAATAATTCTAAACTATAATATAAAACAACTTTGTGCGTTTCAAACCCTTCTACTAAGGTGTTTTGAACGTATAAAAAAGTGCCATTTTATGGGAATTTTTGGGCATAATCCTCAGGGTTTTTCGCAAATTCTCGCTCTATAGATAATTAGAGATATCTTAAAATTTCATCAGCGTGAACTTACAGTGATTCTGAACCATATAACAGGATCACCCAAAGAAAAATTTATAGCGATCATACTTCACCCAGGTCATCTGGATGGAAAGATTTTTCAGTCCCACACAGCAGTTCCAACCATGGTTTGTGCATATTGGGGGTCTAAACTCTCTATTTATGTGATTAATTCCTTCTCCATTTCACAAAAGCCCTCTTCGGCTTTTAAGGGTTAACATGTAATGCAACTTCCCTAGAAAAAGCACAGAATCGATTTGAGACGAAATTCCGACATTCCCACCAGAAATAAGATAACCGATCAAAAGCGAATCGTTGGATAATTAAGTGGTTCATAACGCTGAAACGACAAAAGCCAGTCAGACAAAATTTTGGAAAAATGCGCTTAAACACACAAAAGCGAACCGCGATTGTGAGCTATTAACGTTCAGTTAAAGCACGTTCGAACACGTGTTTACTGATTTTTTTTCCAACTTTCTCAGCGTGTAAACATCAGAACTTTCCTTTTTCCAACGTAGAAACGGCCTTTGAATATAGAATTCTAAAACAAGGCGTTTTCACGCTAGAGAAAGGAAAATTCTGATGTTTAAACACTGAGAAAGTTGGGAAAAAACCAGTAAACGCGTTTTTCCAAATTTTTGTCTGACTGGGAAGATATCACTGCAAATTTTTCTCAAAGAAGCAATGAGAAAATATAATAAAAATAGAACTCTGTGTTCTTTCAGAGAACGCTAGTCAATAGATGAGTCACATAAAAAGCATCAACGCACTCCTGCTTCATACAGCTTCTTTTTGTGATATAAATACTTTACTGTTGTGCTACGAAATTCTTTTTCTTTGAAGCTTGCACAGATAATTACACAAAACTATCGATATAGTAGGAAAGAAAGTTTATAGAATATAATTGCTTCACTGTGCATTACCTTTATACCGAAGAGTAATGTAAAATTTTTCTTGACCCATTGTAAATTTACAATCATAACTGTTGCATGTTATCTTTGGTCATTTATTCGACAAGAATTAAAGTATAGTGTATCATATTGCCAATTGCTATAAGTACAAAATTATATATTTTTAATAGTATCAAATGTACCATTGAAAAAGTAATGATTCAGAATATGAGTATTGATTTCTGCCGATAATGAAACATCATCGTATACTGCTATTACGTTTTATTTATACATTTTTTTAACTTACCTTTTTATATTCTGATTGCCCATGTGAAAAGCTTTTGAGGATAAGTGCGTTTAGAACGCACGAAATAAACGCATAAATAAATAAGATGAAACATTTAACGTGTCAAACGCGTTTAAAATATTTCTGGAAAAAAATGATTTCATTCCCATATCTTCGACCTAGGACATCATCATCTTCATGTAATGATTACCTCTCCCAGAATCCATCGTCTAGTACATTTATTTTATTTTTATGGATACTTTTAGATTGTTCGACGAGTGAGACTATAACATAAGACGTTTGACTAGAATTCTACTGACTTGAACCGATGAATTATATTGGTTTATCTATCCATATGTTAGACTTCTATTTTAATAAGATAGTCTTTTAAAACTTGTTTCAAACGAAACTAAATGTAGAAAACAATCATAATATATTTCAATATTAATTTATATTTTATATTTTTGAGAATTGGCAAAGTATAGATTCTTGAGTATCTGATTAAAAGATTGAAATATATGAAAATAGACTAATTTGTATTTTTTAATAATGATAAATTAATTGCGATGAAAAGAAAAACAATTATAATATATTAGTAGAAAATTTTTGTATTTCTAGAAATCATGATTATTTATTCAGAACTAGCGGGCGTACCCGGTGGCAAATAAGAAATATCTATGTTGAATATCTCACCTGTTGAAAAGCTGCAGCACATAGAAAGTTCAGTACAATTCAAATTCCTCCACTTGCACTCCTTATTTTTCTCACCATGCATCGCATAAAATGGCAGTTTCGACTATATGTCCTTATGCAAAAGAGTTACAGAAGCTAATTTCTGCCTCAGAAGCTATTAAAATTGGCTCGTTCTCTGATATTCATTGTACATTCTAGCTGTTCATTTGTCGACCTCATTCTCGCACTCACGTCATTTCATACCTTATATCCTTTGCATTCACTCTCAAGATTTATGTTAATCTTTTGTAACCATGTAATGCTAATCGTGAGTTTCGTAGGTTGTCTGTAACATGCACAGAACTATTATAGGCGTAGAGAACAGGTGAATTGTTGTCTTTGAGCTCTCAGACGGCCTTTGGCCGCCTTAGCTATTAATTTTCTCAATTTTGGAAATCTCGCATTCCTATTGGTCAGTTTCATAGATTGCCTGTAGCAAACGACTGGTTCCTTTGTTCTCGGAACAAAGTAGATGTCGACCTTCCTCTGGGTCTCAGGAAGCCTTGTGGAAAGCTTCACGCCGATAGCTACTACAGGGACTGAATGCATAGCGAACAAACAGACAAACTTTCTTCTTTATATATATAGAAGATTGAGATGAAGGTAAAAATCTTTTTAAATTCGCACTGACTTCCGCAATACTTCTCATGCCACTGTCAGATCGTGAATAATCTGACTTTTGAAATATATTTAACTCATTAAATATCAGCTCTATATTTGTACATTTGTGATATTTAGTGTAGGTAGGAACTATATCATGAATTTCTGTTTTGTACAAACCACACAGTGCATAGCATACGTATAATGGCACAATTATTTTCGTCATTAATATTGCTACTGTATAAAAAAAGGGCGGTTAATAGACGCCTGCGGCGAAGGAAGTCAAAATATCGTCGATTCAAATCATTCATATAAAAGCATTGTGATACGTCTTGTTACTCGTCGCACATTCATTGCTGTCAAACGAATAAGTACGAGAGTACTTTGGCTTACTTCCTAGATTGCTGCTACTCAATTCCGCACAACACAAATGGACTCATTCAAAGTATTTCCTTTAGTTGGCACCATTATAAGCAAAACGGTTGCTGTAGGAAAAAGATAAAAGATAAATCTGAACAAGCAAAGATAAACAAGTACCAGTGTCAAAGACTTAGTGGGCGCATAAATAGAACGATTTCGTATTTGCAATCAGCACATTTCGATGAAAAAATCCAACAGCACATGGCTTCATTGACTGAAACGCTCAAAAGTTTTTATACATTCACTAAAGAATGTTTTGCATTTGTTTCTCAATTTGAGGACAAGGGATTCATAAAACAATTTTGCCGTAGTTCCCGTCATCAAAAACAATTTATGGATCTTAACGATGAGCTGCAGAGGTACTATTCTGAGCTCACCATGGGTATTATTGTGCACAATACTATCGACGAAAAACAGGATGAAGACGATCGAGAAGGAGATCTCCAAGAAATGTCAAAACTTTTCCCACAACAGCAACATTACTTTTATCCTTATTCTCAACAAATGTTTTATGAACCTAGAGTTCTACATGAGAAACTTGAAGAGCTCAGCCAAAAACATCGAAAAAAAGAAAATAGAATGGTACAAGATAGGGTAGCTATTTTGCCAACGTCTAGTACCGAAGATTTGACACCTTACAAAAAAAATGGATGTAAGTTTGCCTTAGAAGATATTATATGTGAATATGTCTAAAAGAACTGATATGATTCATTTAGCTGCTGATTTTTCTTCGATCTTATCTCCATCGGATGACATATTTATCAATGGGATTTGGTCGAACCACTTCTACCAATATGGAGCATGGCATGGCCCGTTTAAGTGCTCAATGAATTTCAACGCAAATAACAACACATTTCATGGTGACGGTGAAGATGTTGTAGGACTATTCATTTTGAGTGGATTGTATTCAAAGGAAACCAAACAGATGCAAATTATTCAATCGTATAAAGTGAGTTTATTATGTGCAATAGTCAAACTGAGACATTTCTTTTTCGATTTATTTAGTATGGTACCGGTAACCCTCAGTTAAACTTTGGCCATCAATGTGTGTCACAAATGACGTGGAATCCAGCACGACGTGTTTTTGAGGGTATCATGTTTGTATCAAATGGATGGACTATGATACCTGGTGGTCTGTTTGAAATATCATTTGTCAAATCTCATTGAGATGAGACTATTTGTATTGTTGATATTATTATTCGATACAAGAATGTTGTGAAAGTTTTCAAGCATGTTGATAAATGAATATGATAAATAGATAAAACTTCATAGATCAACAATGACTATATAATCAGTTTTACTAATTTTGTGTTTTCTTGATTGGAACGTGAGTATGGATGTACTGAATGATAATGATCTACGATCATTCACCCAACCCACTCCTTCCATGTTCGATACAAATTAAATCATCGGCAGATATTCGTGCTTGGTTTAGTCTAAACATATCAGATTAAATTTTGATTAAAATGAAAAAACTGAGAAAAGTATGATAAATTCTATTGAGAAATACTTCTTCACGGAAATGTTTAGTGCGACATTGAAACTGAATTATTATTGATTGATTTGTTTCGGATAAGGTAGTTTCGATTTGAAGTTTATCATCAATACGCAGAGAATGACGATCAGTAGTGACTCTTTGTGTTCAATAAATAAACATGACTTACTTATTGGTGATGAAGTGAGACAAAACAATTGAGACATACTCGCAGAAAATCCACAGTTCATATCAGTAATAAACAGAATTAGTCGTGTAGATAAATATATACAGATCGAGGTTTTATGAAATACGAGTATGAATTGATGTACTCTTGTGAATAAATATTTTTTGTTATTTGATATTCACATATGATAAACATTTACTGATCAAAGGTAAAATGTGGGTAAAGGTGAACCTTTCGGCTAACCTCTCATAGTCATCATTCTCGCAACAAAGGTCTATGTATGAGAAAAAAAAATCAATTGAGGTATGTTTATTGAAAAGATTTTGACTTCCTTAGAATGTCTTCATAGTTCAAATTAGAGTTTAAGAGTTTTAACCTCTCAAAGTGATTCTCTGGAAAAATCTGATACCTGGAGCATCTTTCCACATCCTGACATATCAGGTTGGGAGATATATCGTGATCTCTATCATCGTTCGATTTATTATTTATTTGATGCAAACTGTAATGGAAAACAAAAGCTAATGATACCGATAGAACTCATTGTGACCAGTGGTCTCGATATCGAATATGCGATGGAATTTGGGATTTTAAGAATGGAACAATTGGTTGTTTAGATAAAATTTATACTGGAGATGATTTTTGTCATTGTCTAGGATGTACTGATGATAAAAAACGTCCAGCAGAATTCAAAGGTAATAATAGATTTCGATGCCAGAATGGAACAGATATTCCACCAACGGCTTTATGGGATCAACTTCGTGATTGCTCTGAGAATGAAGATGAATTAGTTTGTCCGTGGGCAATTAATAGAACAAATGGTTGGCATTCGGCATATTGTTGTCAATCTGTGGCTGAAGATCAATGGCTTTGTGAGTTAAAATGGAAAAGTGAATATACATTATTCGATTATATTCAGAACCATCCTCAAATAAAAGTGAAGACTTTGTTCGAAAATAATTCCATTTTAAAAGTTTTGAATACAGGTAATTAGAAATTGATCAATAGTTTCGAGTTCAATTATATTTCATTTATTCGCTTTTTCTTAGCTGATGAGACAAAAATTGAAGAAACTTCATTAAGGGGTCTTATTGTAAAAAAAAACGTTTTGGAAATCATTTTCAATATTTATGTCCACCGAGTTATTATGGTTTAAGATGTGAATATCAATCTGAAAGGATATCAATAACAGTTTAAATGGATATTCCAATTAGTTTAAAACGGAATGCAAATCATCAAAGTTCCCTACGATTAGTTACGTTTTTCACATTCAATCAAGCTTGTCTTTATTATGAACATCTTTTACATCAACGTTCGACAAAACAAAGTTTATATTTAACATATCCACATCCACCACCTAAATCACAAGGACATTGATCCGTGCGAATCGATGTTTATCATGCTGATCAAAACCATGTTGAATGTTGAATATAAAGCATCGTAGTTCTATGCTTTCAATATTCGTATATTTGGTTTTGAATGATCCGAAGTCTTGCAATACATTGAATTGTATTTTGTGCTTGTGTTCAAGGTGGAAAATGTCTTTCTCACTCTTTAAGATCTTTTTGTATTTGTTCATTGGATCGTTTTGTAGCAAATTGTCATGGATGGTTCAATACATGTCAAACTATTCAATGTTTTAATGGTGGTACGTGTATTCCATTAGATGAACGAGAAGTGTTTAGATATGAGTGTATTTGTCCAGATGGTTTTTCAGGAATTCATTGTGAGAATATTCATCAAGTTTTAAATCGAAATATTATGCAAAGTCTTTTGCAGTACTTGTTCATGTTCTTCATTTCAACTCTTTTCATCCGAAAATTCTTTCGATTCACGATCGTTTTTTTCTCCATTCATTTGATCAATCATCAGATATTTTCTATGAAAAACGAAATTCTCGTTCATTATTTGTTATTATTCAGATTTATCTCGAAGATAATCAAATGGGATTCTTATATTCCTGTAGTTATGAAGAAACCTCCAGAGAATCTCACAGTGATCATTTCTTTGGAAGATCAATCTTTTCATGTTGATAAATTATACGAAAATAAAACGATCGAGCAATTTCCATCGATGCGAAAAATGAAATCTTATCATCAAATTTGTCGTTCGAAAATAAATGTGAAATATTTTCTTGGCTAATTTTGCTTCCACCTTCAACTAAATGTTCAATCAATTATTGTCAAAACCATAAGGTCAATATATTCAAAATAACCTTGATGAATTCTGGGATTTTCATTGTGTTTAACAATTAAAAACATCAGAATTCACTATATCATTGGATATGATGCTTGGTCAAGACATTCGTGTGAATACTCCTCTCAAACATCGACCACGTTTGATTCAAATCACAATTGTTCTTCTTAGTTTAATGTTGATCTTTAGACTAATATTCAATACTCTTTCGTTTATAACATTAAAACTACAGAAAGTTCAACAAATTGGTAGTGGAACTTATTTATTTTGTTTGTCAATCATTGGTCAATTTGGCCTATTAATTCTTCTTGGAAGATTCATTTATCTATTAATAACACAAATCTATCGTGTCAAATCTCGAACAACAACATACTGGTTCTGTCTTGATTTAGAATACTTTCTTAGTATCTGTCCGATCTTATTTGACTGGTTGATAACATTGATTAGTTTAGAAAGACTTGTTAATATTCTTCAAGGGGTTTCATTTGACAAGAAGAAAAGTGTGGTTTGGCCGAAACGGCTTATTTGGATTTTAATCGATATTATTTGTTTAAGTTCATCTCATGAATTTTTTAGTTATGAATTAATTGACGATCCACGTAGTGAGATTTCAATGGTCATGGATGAAATATTACCAATTAATTATGAATGTATTTCATCTATTTGTTCCTTGTTTGATTCAATTTCTCTCAACAATTGTTCTTTAACATAAATCAACGCGATTAAAACAAAGTTAAAGTGAAAAAGAGACAAATTCTTATTGGAAAATTTTGAAAGGACAATTTCCTCTTTATAGAGTTCCAATAGTATTAATTCTTTTCAGTATGATTCGATTGATCTTTTTATTTATATTGATTTGTATTATTCCATTGATGGCAACGTTTTCTATTTTGATTTTACCTGCATAGATTTATCGAAATGAATTTCGAAATATGATGAGAAATCTGCGAAAAAAATTAGCGAACAAACAAGCCAAATGATTTGAGGGTGTGGGTGCAGATGCGATTCATCCTTGTCACTTAACACATCTTGAGGGTGAGAGTGATTAGAACAATTCGAAATGAAATAAAAAGTTCTAATGATGAAAATTGTCTCGAGTAAAAAGCAAGAGATCTTACAAAATACAATCGAATCTGCTGTTAGATCGATATCCAATGTTGCCCATCAACTAGATAATGTTATTTTTAAAAAACGCATATGGCATGAATTATTACGAAGAACTGACATAATCAAAGCGCAGTATTTAACAAACAGAACATGTGCGTCATTGTTGTGGATTTAACTGAACGTTAATTGCTCGTTGGCACGTTCGCTCTTTTATTTAAGTAAAATAAAAATGACTAAAATTCGATATTTTTTCATTCTCTAATGAATAAATTGTTTAATAAACCATCCATATGAATAATAGTTCGCTTTTGGGAGTAGAATCACTCTCGAATCTGATCCATCGACTTTAACATACGAAACTCCAGGAACAACCGGGCCCGTTAATTTCGTTGATGCATAATAAATCTTTTCTTGAAAATCAAATGCTGAAAGTGAAGTCACAGCAATATTTGGATCTTCATAAATATTTCCAACATCTTTACTAATTCCACCTTTACTTCGATCTAATATTCCAACAGAAGAAACAAAATGAACACTTACATTAATATAAGTTGCATACATAGTAAATGTTTTATAATCAAATTTTATACTTAAAGGTGAAAAATTAATTTTTGTTTTCCAATCAACTCCACCTGAATTACTTGTATTAACACCAACATACATAAAACCTTGATCATCATTCATCATAAGAAAATATTTTCGACAAATTGGGCAATAACTTGAAATATGAGTTGCTTTCAAATTTTCAACTGTACCCATTGTTTGTTTAATATTTCCATCACTTGTATCAATTTCAACAATTGATGTTACATTTTCTTGATCAGTTTCAATATGTGCGAATAATTGCTTTTGAAATATATCATATTGAAGAGATATTATCGTGCTCTTTATTGTTTGATACGTTGAGAGAAGTTTACCGTCAACTGCATTGATAACACTTAATATTGTTTGTTTATTCTTATCTGGTGCGGCCATATAAACAACATCAGCGTTTGGATCGTATGTTAATGGTAAAACATGATATTTGACATTTCGAGGATCTCCAACAATATTTATATCGATTTTGTTTGTTATATTGAATTGTGATGTATCGAAATTAAATGTTCCATAACAAACATGACTTTGATCAGAATCTGCAAATAAACCATGAAGAATATGCGGTGGATCTTGTTTTGCTAGACAAATTGTTTTTATTGAAGATAAAACGAAAAGAACTACAAGTACTTTCATCATTTTTTAAGAGAAAAATTGATGTAATGTGTTATTATGATGCATTTTTTTATACACGGTAGAATCCTTATCTTTTCTTGATATACGAAAAATTAAAATAATATAGCGTCATGATGAAAGACAAGAACGAAAAAGTGAGAGAATCATGACTTTGCATAAACATTTATTGTCTTTTTCGTGCATATACTATTTAATAACAGATTAATTGAGTAGTGTAGAAATCGTTAATTTGACTCGAGTTTTAAAACTTTCATTCGAATTCGAAGTTTCGAGTTTTCCGCTTACCAGCTCGTAAGTGATTGATCGTAAATCCTTGAGTGGCTAATTATTAACTATTATGTAACAGTTAATTAGATATTTACCAATCGATTACTTATTATCAATCAACGGACTATCAAGTAATCGGCATCTGAGTATTAAATACTACATAATCATTTATGAACTATATGACTATCACTTATCAGCCAACTAACGGCAACGAATGTCGTTCACATTGACACTGACTGCGCCGTTGTAGGGTGCACCCTCCTCCTCCCCCACACCCTCACCCTCATTAAAACAAGAAAAACAGGAAATCAATAAATTAAGACAGTGGTGGTGAGAATGAGAGCGAGGGTGCTTCGTGGAAGAGAACAGCTTCAGATCTTCAGTTTGCCTCACCTTTAATCTTACGTTCACAAATTCAGTTCACTTTTTTCCTGATCCTCTTTAATTTTCTTGCTTTTCTGTTGTTTTTATTTTGAAAAAAGATTCCTCTCGTAACTTTCGAGAAAAAAAAGCGTGTCTCTTTATTTTATCTTTGATAAGCCACTGGTTGACTACGTATAGGTATACCAATTGGTCCTGAGGGTGCACCTAAAGATGAACAAATTTTAATAGAAAAAAAGCGATGAAGTCAAAAGATATACTTTTCGCTTTGATTTCTCGAGCTTCTTGACAAACACCACATGGCCCACAACAAGTAGCCACAAGACAATCATGGCATGGCTCAGGTTTCAATTGATATTTTTCGCGTAATACTTTTCTTTTCATCATATGTGGAACCCAACATAAATAACAACAACCTGCTGCAAAATATGCTAGACCACATCCAACACAGCTACTTCCATCAATTTTTTCAACGTTTTGACCAAATAAACATGGTAAACACCAAAAACCACAACAACAAACCTTCATATCGTCAAAACAACCAAAGAGTGATGCTAAAATAATCGTTCACTGAATATTATAATATATAAATAGAATTATTATGCTAACCATTCCATGGTCTGTTCAGATGAGCTTGATCTTTGGCTTTAGTTTCAATCGCATCTTTGCCAGTCATATTGAATAAATATATCAAGGATAATTTTATCGTGCCGTACGATACGTAGACAAACTTATAAATGAATATACGGACTGCACTTTTACGAATAAATATAAATGGCAATGAAAAGCCATAATAAGCGTGACATTTTTTTATAATTATCATTAAAAGTATTTTTCTTAATTAGATGTCGTTTTACATCAAGTACTTTTTCATGATATCAGGTAAACATTAAGAGACAACATATGAAAATCACATATGATTCACATATCAGTAGTGCATGATTTTTCAACTATTTTCGTAATATTCGTCATTAACCGTATCGAAGGATGTAATCAATCTTGCTCAGAATTTATATTGAAGTTTTATATATTGGAAAAAAGAACGAATGACCCTTCATGGTCATACCTGTAGACAAAATTGATTTCTACTTGATAGATTAATATCATATACATACTCAGCCAGACAAATTGGAAAAAATCACACGTAAAAGCGTTTGAGAATGTGTGCTTTTCTCGAATTTATTTTCCTTAAAACTTCGATGTGTTTTTACGCGTTGTAACGATAATGATATCGTTCATCTCTTTCTTTTCTTTATTCTCTCACCTCTATATCATACTATCTCCGGGTCATATCTCTCTTTCCTCTTCTCTATATAAGCGCGTGTCTTATTGTGAGAGAGATACATTCTGGTCATGTAGAGTAGTCAATAAACATCGATACCGTGAGAAGCGGTCAGCTACTCAACCAGTTTGTCGTTACACGCGTAATTTTTCTTGTCTATCTGTCTGCGCATTGAAATATAGTCTTTATTGACTGTGATCTTTTAATTATTTAATACATTCATTTTTACTCGGGTTTTTCTCTTCATTGAAGATGTCCTTCTCCTTTCGCTCTAGTTCGTGAATAAATAAAGAAATTGTTTTTAATTGTGAAAAGATCACTTTTTACCAGGTTCAAATGATAACTTGGATTAATTGCTGCAGCTAGTATTCAATCAATTGAATCAAAAATTCCAATCTATGAAATTAATTACTTTTCATCAGTTTTTTTTAATGGAAATATTCAAAAGGCTTTTGATGAGAAATAAAAATTTGAAAATCATTAAGGCGATTAGAGTACCTATGAAACATCGTTCAAAAATTGAATATCTTTTTCGATATAATTGAGGTGGACTCTAGGATACTGAACGTTCAGAAAAATGATTTCTTTCTTAAAATTTTTATTAAATCAAAGCTATTTTGGATTTGTTTATAATAATTTTTTTGCAAATAGAAATTCTGTATGAAATTGCCATGATGATATTTGATAAGAGATATTAATCACTAGGAAGGCTTCACAATAGTGATGTTTCAATATATTGTATACAAAATATTATTCAATGAGCAATTAATAAATGATTACGTAAAATTCGACTTTGTGTTATCGAACTGCTCCAGTATTATTATATTATCTATTCTGATCGAGAAAAATAGTTATCAGCACCAGTTTTATCCTATCATTAGTAAGGTTATTTTAACAAATCAATAATTTGTTAGAGAAACAAGAAAGTCATGATATTTCCATAGATAAAGCGCAAACATGTCATTTGTCCTGCCAAAGAACCTCCTTTATATATAATAAAATTTGATGAATAATCAATATTGTTATGCATGCATGAACGATGTATTTTCTTTCATCAAATTAAGTTCATATTCGGTAAGAATATAATAAATTCATGATACTCTATGGTCGATTTTTCGACTAATGATTCGTAATTCTTTCGATTACAGAAAAAGCATGCGTACGTATCCCAGATGAGATGTTTTAATGTTTTGACTTCAAATAATATTATCTGAGGAACTTCATCGGAAACGACTAGATCGAACTTGCCACTCGATATCGATAAATGTTTCAATTGCTGAAAATTTGATAAGGAAAAAATAAGAGTTAAGAATCGGGTATTATCATCATCAATTAATGATAAGGCGATCAGATTTATATAGAATAAGTCGATGGGACAATATTTTAAACATTGTTCCATTGTTACAAATGATTTCTTATTTTTATTTGTTAACGTTAATTTCCTCTACTGAACGGAGGGTTATGCGTCGAGCAGGTATTACAAAAAAAAGAGTTGATATTGGTTGGCTGGTTCGTTCTTTCACATCACTGTTCGATAGTGACTATTCAGTGACCCTAGCAGAGGACAAAGTTTGATCGAAGGGCAATCGAGGTCGAGAAATCCGAGTCCGGTGTTAGTTTTTTACTGAATACTTTCTGATCCGTTTTTTACGACAAAGAATCAATTTTTAGACGATAATGTTTAAGCGGCAATATGTAGAACAAAATGTAATAACTGACTGACGTCCGATCGCTGGATCTCCATAGTCATCAGCATATTAATGAGATCACACACTTATATAAACACCTATACTATACGAATATCATCTGATGCCAGTCATTCAAAATAATGTTTCGCTTGTCAAGTGTTGTCTTCGAGAGTCATAGTAGCACAAAGAGGGTGACGTTTAAAGAGAGAATAGAAGAGAACGAATGGATTAGTTTCAAAAGTGACTCTAGACTAAGTGGATTGGTGAAAATTTACATGTAACGGCTAGCCGCGAGTGACCGACCGGAGAGAGGCCGACGAACGACTAGGCATTGAGGGATGGTGTTTTCAGTCAACACAGTTAGTTCTCGAGAATTACTCACTGACAAATGGCTAATCGGTTCGGTTTCTGAAAAAGAACAATCTGTCTTCTATTCACTCTAGTGTGTGACATAGTGGCATGGTTCAGTTGAGGGCTGGTAGCAATCGCAGCGCCTAAGTTGTCTTTCAAAGTGTTTGAATGTGGTCAGCACTGGGACAATTCTTTCAGAAAAGGGTCAGCGAATCCAAATGATGAGCGCTACTTGTTTGTGACAGTATCTTGAGGGTGTGGTCGTAGAAGAGTCTATGCTCTTAACCTACGCTCATACCCTCACTCTCAAGATCTATTGCTTTTACATAAAAAAGTCAACAAGAAATGACAGTAGAGTAATTTATTGAATAATTAGCGATGGCCTTATTTAAACGTTAGACCAAACGACACCAGGGTCGATACATAGCGCAGGTAGATGATCTGCAATCTCTAAACATTGTTCAGGGGATCGGCACTGCATACACTGGCATCCACAAGGTTTTCCTAAAATATATGCGTCATTTTTATGATGTACAAACAAATTAGTCCAGCAGACTACTCACCCACCACGGCAGGCATAATGAAACACACAGTAAGGATGAGAACAAAAATCATCATAAGATAGGATCGGTGAAGGAATGTCATCGTTGTTTGGACTACGCAAGAGAAGATTGGAGTGAAATTTAAAGTGATTCTCTTAGAAAATAACTGTAATAACGTATATGCTGCGAATGAAAGGAATATATATAAATATTCTGTTATCAGAAAAAATAGGCGTTGGCGTGTTTATATAATGCATCTGCCATCCTCTATACATTAAAAAATAACAAGAGAAATTAGTATTGCTCTTGACGGTGTGAGTGTGTATATGTATAAGTAAAGCAAAATCTATTTCTATTCCTATCTAGTCATTTGTTATAAGGGTTATATAGATATATATTTATATTCGAATTGACACTAGCCGGTCGAAGGTCGACTTATAATATAAGTTGAATTAGGCATCTCATGAAGAAAAGGTAGTCAATTAATAGATAATATCTTTCGAGAACAGAAAGATCTTAAATTAAAAGATTGCGGAATTATTTGAAACACAGATTTAATTGAAACATTTAAATTAAAAATTTATTACTGAATGCTTTGTAAATAATTTATGGAGCAGAAGGAAGAGAAAAGAAAAGAATTTTGAGTTGAAACTTATTTTTCTTTCTTGTTTAAAACAGAATTGCCGCATAATTATTAAAATATGAGAGAAAATGAAATTGGTGATCAAAACAAGAAACCCATTGAAAAAAATTGATGTAAGCATACATTATCTTATACTGATCCTTCCACTGGAAAAACAATATTAACATATTGACCTGTTATACTGGTGAAACATTATATGAAAATAGTCGTAAAACAGTACCACTGAATTCTTGTGTTTATTAAAACAAAAAACATTTTTAATCAAGATTTTGAATTCAATAATAAATAACTATTGATTGAATTGCATATTATAGTATATATACTGTACTTTAGCGAAAATAAACGGAATACTCTATTTTCGATTATTAGTTATCTGAATGATAGAATTTATATAGTATAAAGTAAATGGAAAGACTCAATCTCGGTGCAACAAATAATAGTCTATATTTTTTGTCTTACCATTATAGAGGTTCCTCCAAGACAAACACGACCGACATGTCAACTGTTTTCTTTGGTTCTTTTTGATATATTTCGATTAAATTTTTAAACTAATTTTATTCTTCATACACACATATTACTTTACTATTGTGGAACTATGCAATCAATCCAGTCTATAGACATTTTAAGAGGACATTGTGACGATATTTCTGGTGTTCGATCAAAAATTGTACGCGTTTTTCTGAGTTCGACATTTTCAGGTATAATATATATATATATGAATGATAATTTAATGTTTTCCTTTTAGACACACTTATTGAACGAGACTCGTTGATTGATACTGTTTTTCCTAAACTGAAAGATTATTGTCGAGAAAAGTGTCGTCTTGAATTTCAGGTTTGTATTTCTTTCAATATGATTTATATATTGTTCAATTGTAGTATGTTGATATGCGATGGGGAATTCAAACAGAATCAAGTAATAATCATAGTGAAGTTCAGATATGTCTACATGAAATTGAACTATGTAAAAAATATTCAATTGCTACAAATTTTGTGGTTAGTTATCATTCATTATATTCTAACTTTCAAGTGCGAAGAAAAGATGCCCATTTTGCTCGAGTTGTGATACTATTAATTTAGTAGGAGTGAAATGTTGGATGAAGAGAAGCAAAAAGATTCTTCTATTCGTTTCGTAATTACTTTGAATAGGTTTTGCTAAGTCATCGTTACGGATCTCGACCAATACCTGCAACCATTCCTGCAACGTTGTTTGAATTACTATACAAAGTTCTTTGTTCAAATGACAATGATAAAGATGATGCTCAACTAGTTGCTCAATGGTATCAACTCGATTCGAATTGTGTGCCATCGATTTATGTACTTCGTCCAATTTCATCGGTGTTATCAGACATACTATCATCAGTGAACTAATCGAACAACTACTGATTATTGCAAATTCTTCTTTTTTGCTATTTAGGATAGAGAAAAAATGAAAGAAGCCGAACGAGAATGGAGAAAACTGAGTAATCGTCTTCGTATTTGTCTTCGTAAAACAGCAACCAAATGTTTTGAAAGAGGACAGATTCAAAAAGATGAATATGATCATTTTTTTATATCAAGTATGAATGAATTTCTTTGATATTATTTAATTTTTGAGATTGTCAAATCTAGTTACAGAGAAAGAAATCGTCGAAGGTATTCTAAAAGCGTCCGATGCAAATCAACGTACATTATGTTTTTTACGCGAAATTGAAGATATTCACGATCATTTATCTGATAGTAAAGCACCAAAATATATTGATATAGATTATTCTGCAGATGGAAAAGCAATAGTCGATAGTGAAGCTGAAAATTTACTTAATAATTTAAAATATTCTCGTATACCAAACGGATTACAATCATCAAATATATATTCATATAAAGTTCATTGGACATCTAATGGAATTAATCGACAAGATCATGCCGCATATATTGATCAATTTACTAAAGATTTTTTTCATGCAATTAAAGAACAAATTGATCGCTGTGTTCAATCGCATATTTCGATTGTTTCTGATCCATTACAACATGAAATACTAGAACATGCAATTCAATGTAAAACATATGTAACAAAGTTTCATGGCAGAATCGATGTTCTTCATCGAGTAAGAAATATTAGAATATAAAAATATTGATTTTATCTTTAGTTTTTATTCTTATAGTTAGAAGAATATGTAATGAATGAAACAGAAAATCGTGCGTGCATTGTATATGGAGATTCGGGTTGTGGAAAAACAAGTGTATTAGCTAAAACTGCGATTGAAGTACGTAAATTGATACTTTATTCAAATTTTTCATCAAAGAGCGTGTAAAGAAATAGTTAACTTGTTAGAGTTTATAAAATTATTTTATGAAAATCTAAATGACACTCAATACACTATATATATTTTTTGTCGATAATAAATGTTTAGGTCTTGAAATGGTGGCCAAATCGATCTGTTTCAGTGATTCTACGTTTTCTCGGGTACGTATTATTTTTCCTTCACTAATGTTTTATATTATCGGATTATCTCTCTCTCTCTAAAGAACAACACCTTCTTCATCAACTATTTATAAAACATTTCTTTCAATATCTGAACAAATTTGTAAATTATACAATTTATCAATGGAAATCTATCCTGATGTTCTTCAATTACGACATCAATTAGAAACGAATTTGTTTCTTCAAATTCCTCCAAATGAATATCTTATAATTTTACTTGATTCAATTGATCAACTTGAAACAGATGCATATGATTGTCAGTGGTTAACAAAATCTTTTCCAAAAAATATTAAATGTATTATTTCAACGTTACCTAATCATGGTAATATATTATCAAATTTGAAATATCTCATCAATTATAATCAATCATCAATAGAAAATATTCAACATTTACTCATTTTCGTTCCACCATTCGAAATAGAAACTGTAGAAAGAATTTATAATACATGGTTAAAAGTAAAACAACGTTTATTTGTTCGACAATGGATGAAAGAACAAATTGAAATAATACCTTTATTTATGAAACTTGTTTTTGACATAATATGTACATGGCATTCTTATGATACAATTGATGATCAATTGAAAACATGTCGTACCGTCGATGATTGTATTCGATATCTATTTAATCATCTACAAAGTAAACATAGCAGTATTTTATTTCGTCGTGCACTTTCTTATATGACTGCTTGTCAAAATGGTATTAGTCAAAATGAATTAGAAGATGTACTTTCACTCGATGATGATGTCCTTAAAGGTGTTTTTGAACATTATATCCCACCTATTCGACGTTTACCAGGAATTTTATGGACAAGAATTCGAAATGATATGGATGAGTATATAATGGAAAAAGAAGTCGATGATTCAACAGTAATCTATTGGTAAGAAATTAGAAAAACTAGTCGTTTGCAAAAGTTTTCATTTATTTCTCTTGTTTATATTCAAATTATCGCATCTTTGTAAGTTTGCTGATCCATTTAGTGCTAGAGCGATGAATGAACGCTTTTCTTCATTCAGGAAATATTTCCATTTCGATCGTTTCGAAGTATACTAACGAGTGATAGATATCAGCTACATTGGTTCTCGATATCATAGCTTTCTGATATGAAAGCGACCGCGCTCTAATTATTAATAGCTAAAATATATTTAGGTATCATCGTCGTTTTATTGAAGTTGCAAATGTAGAATTTCTTTCAAAATTAGATGAAACAGAAAGAAGAACCATTTTCAGTAATATGGTCGATTTATACAATGAAACATGGAAAGAGAAAAATAAACCATTAAAAATTAATAATCGAAAATTGATCGATAAATATCATTTGCTGAAATCGAATGGAGAAATTCAAGCAAATCGACTGGTTGCATCTCAACCAATTGAATTCATTGATGTTAATGGGCGAATTCAATATAATAAACGAAAACTTAATGAATTACCACAATTCTTATGTAAATTATCACCAAATAAAGCCGTACCGATCGCTGTGAAAGAAGTTTTTTTCAACTATCCATTCATGTGTAAGAAGATTTCAATTCATTTCTTTGATAAATTAGAAAAGAAAGTCGACAGAGTTAGTCAAGAAGTGAAGGAATTACTAATAAGAAAAATTTCCTTTTTAAACGAATCTATGGTTATTTTTATAGTATTTCAAATTGAATTTTAGAAAAGAAATTGGCTTCCTCTTATCCAAAAAGCAGTGGGGTTACGGGTACAGGAAAATGATGCCTTCCATTAGATTAGAACAACTTGTTAGCACATATTTAAGTGAACAGACGTAGCAAATGTCACTGACTTCCAGTCTGTTGAGTCTAGACAATCCATAGGTATTTGCTTGTCTATCCTTGCTGCAAGTTGAAAGTCGGCGTTAAGTTTTGCGAGGGTTTGTCTATTCCCATTTACTTTAGCCTGTCGTCTTTCTTTTGCGATTGTCAAGGTGCTTGACGATAACCATTCGTCGTTTACTATGTCACATATTTCTTGCCATAATTCTTCGGGTTCTTTGTCGACCAGATTGAGTGCATCGAATATGTTTTTTTACTTCGACCTTGTACTTGTGTGGAGTATTTTGCAGATCGGGTTTTGCCGTTAATGTTGGATTGTGATATTTTTTTAGCCTGGCTCGAAAATTTGTTACTAGGAGTTCGTGATCAGTGCCGCAGTCAGCTCCTGGTCGTGTTTTGATTGATGTTATTGAGGTTTTCCATCGTCTGTTGCAGAGAATAGAATTGGTGTTGTCCTTGTGTATAATCGTCGTTTTGGTTGTTGAAAGCACGTATTGGTGATAATCATACGATTTTCTTCACAGAAATCGATCAATCTCTCCCCGGCTTCATTGCGTTTTCCCAGACCAAACTTTCCAACTATGCTAGGTACCACCATTTCTCCAACATTTGCATTTCAGTCTCCAGTTATTAGGATGGCATCTTTTTTTTATGTGTTGTCAAGTGTTTATTGTAAATCCATGCAAAAACTGTTGATTGTTGATTCATCTGCTTCTGTAGAGGGTACGTAGATTTGTATTATTGTTAAATTTGTTGGTTTTCCTTGTAGTCGAATAGAGATTATTCTGCCATTTTTTGGGAAGTATCCAGTTACCGAATATACGAGCTTCTTGTTTAATACGATGATTACTCCGTTTTTCCTGGTGTTGTGACTGCCAGAGTAATACACTTCGTAGCTTCCAGATACGAAATGACCATTTTCTGTCCATTTGAGTTCACTTATACCAAGAATGTCTATTCTGATGCGATCCATTTCTGATTTGACTATTTTCGAGCTTACCTTGATTCATGCTTCTCACAATCCATGTGCCGATTTTGTGTGTTTTCAAAAAGCTTTGGTCTTTCTCCTCATAGTACCAATTGTACTGGGCCTTAGCTCTTCTTCAGCACAGTCCGATAGTTTCTGCATACGCGCATTAGCCTTAAAGATATCTTTAAGTTTCTCTCTCATACAACGCAGAGGTTGTACGTTCCAACTTCACGAGAGCCCTCACGGATAAAATGGTTTTCAACTTTTTTTGTTTTGTCTGAATATTTCTACAAATAGATGCTAAAATACAATGTTCCGATTATAATGATATAACCCATTTAATGCAACACTTTAAAGAGATTTCAACATCTAAATTATCGAAAGAAATAATCGATGTGAAAATCGAAATAAATATACTATTTATGATTTATATCATTGTCGGTCATTTGCTTGAAGAATATCCAAATAATTATGCATTTGAGTTTTCATCTCGTCTTCTTAGTTTATTTGGTATTAAACCTTATATAACTAATCTATTAAAACAATTCGATGAAAAAAGTCTTAATCATTGTGCATTAATTGTACCTTATTGTCAAATGAGACCACCAGGTAATGGTCTAGTTTATTCAATGAATAAACATACAACGTCAGTTACGATCATCGATATTACACTGGATCAAAGAATAGCCGTGACTCTATCAGATCATATTATTGTTATTGATATGACATCTGGACATACATCATTCGATGTTCAATTACCTAAATTAGACGAATCCTATTTAAATTTAACTGCAACAAATCATTTAGACGAACAATCTGGTAAAAATTCTCAACAATTTTACTTTCTTCTCAATTCACTTCATCATATCTATTTGATATCTACACATAATGATATTAAATTCGAAAGAACATCTTCAAATGGTTATGCAACAGTTGAAATATTCAATTTAAAACGTGCTCTTGTTATTATTGCGGAAATAAATAGTAATTCTGTTGAATGTTGGGATCTTCTAAATAATAGATTATTTACTCGAATTGATTCGATATCATCGTCCATAAAAACAATATTTTGTATTGATATCTATTCTATGATTGTTATTCTCTGTGAAGATGGTCATATACATTTTTATTCTATAAATGATTGGATACAATCATCATTTATTCATCGTGGATCGATATATATTGATCAGCAATTAAATTTAATTATTAATCATGGACGATATTTGATTTATATCGATGAAAAGAAAAGTCCAATCGATTTTATTTATATTGATTTAAAAATAATAAATGATAATAAACAGTTTTTATTTGATCAAGATATTAAAAAACTCTCAACTAAATTTCATATTCCATTAGAATCAAAATCAATAAAACGTCTTATATTACCTGATACTGATAAAGTAAATGTCAATTCTTTATTATGTATATTATTAACAAATGATAATTTATATGCAATTCATAAATGTTCAGGAGAGAATTTATCATATGTTTGTATCGATGGACATTTTGATATTGTTTCATTCCACGAAAATAATCCAAATACTATTTATACAGCTCGTGAAGGTATTATAGATATATTTGTTTGGACATGTATTGAAAATTTCGACAATGAAGATCATCATGTACATACTTATGAATTATATGTTTCTATTGATATTAGCTCATCTCCTATAACTACAATTAAACCAATTGTTGCATCGAGTTTGTTTTATCTATAATGAAATGAGAAATCGAAAAAAATCTTATTCATATTTTTGTTTAGCCCCACTTTTTTTGTGTTCAATGGAAAATGGAGCAATACATATGTATGAAACAGAACAGATACGCAAAGCATATAAAGAAATGCTACCATTTCTACGTACAAATAATGTTATAGAAACTGTCGAACTCTATAATGATATAGCAATAACACTTGATAATCAAAGACGGTAATTAGTTTTAATATATGACAAAAGTGTTTTGCTTGAAATTTATAAATTCGATGAACATATTTCAATTATTCACTTTGGCTTAAACGTATTTAATTTTATTTAGAGAACTAACACTTTGGTTATATCAACATTCAACATCGATTGAATCCAAACGTTTTTATACAGAAAATTTCTCTATCAATAAATTTGTACTTACATCAAGCAAATTAGACCGAAATGTAATGTTTGTACTTATAATAACATCTAATAATCGTATAGAAATTTATTCATCTCAATCGTTTCATAACGAACCAATTTTCTATCTTTGTCTCCATTCATCGTTTAATGTTTATTCAACCCGACATGGCAATTTCCTTGTCTTAAATAATACAGGTGTATTGTTTACAATTGTTCAACAATCAAATGATAATCAACAAATTACATTCAATAAAACCAATGACATACAATTGAAAATCCAATGTTCGATGATGTTTAGTTGCATTATTACTCTCGATTCAATAGAACATCTTGTTGTATTAGCAGATGATTTACAATCAATGCTAATTTGGACAGAAACATCTTTAATTTATATTAATATTGATCAGACTACATATTTTAAATCCGGACATTTAAAAACTATGTCAGCTGAACAAACTCAAGATTTTATTTTATTACATTTCGATAATAAATTACTTGTCCTATGTCAAATTGAATTGAACGAATCGAAAAAGAATGCATCTATAAAAATGATTCCATTAGATACAACTGACATGTTCAGTTTAACCAATGGCTATCTAGCAACAGTCAATAATGCGAAACATCAACTGAATTTATATAGTATTCCTTCGTGGAATCACGTCAAATCGATTCAATTAGAAAATGTATGTGAACAAATATGTTTCAATGCATCAGGAACTTATGTCTTTACTGTAAGTAAACGTCGCATTTTACTTATGTATCGAATTAATGACTGTCGTCAATTGGCTGAGTTATTCCTCTACGATTTTGTTTTATCAATGAAAGCAAACAATGATTTTATCGTCTTAGCTATGAATGATCGACGTTTACTAACATTGATGATAGCCGATCCGGAAGATCCGAACATACAAGAAAAAATTCAAAGATTACCTAGCAGGTAGATGTTCTCTTTTACTAAACATTCGTCATCGGATATCTTACTTCTGAGAAACACAATCTAAAAGAAATATTGCAGTGTATACAGCTATAGATGTCTTTTTTTAAAGGAATTCTTGGCGTGAAATCCAGTCAGCAACAATCAGACTGGTGCAGCACATTGAAAGATGTGCTGGTATGGAGTCGAGCCATGATGATGATGATAGCATCATTATTAACGATAGCAACGATGAGTTTGATGCTATAGAAGAAGATGATGATATAGGGACAATAGAAAAGTTGGAACGGCCTATCAGTGCTTTTTGTCAAGTTCATCATTTCAATGAGCGATACTCACCAAATAATACAAATGACACTGTTGATACTGATACGAAATTTGTTCACGATGGTTTCAATGAAGAAGTTCTCGCTGAAGAAACTGGTATTAAATCTTCTAATCCGACTACAACAACAGTCGACAAACAGCACACAAAACATGACCTAAGTGATATTCATCGAAAAGTTATTGAGTACGATCAGCAACTATTGAAAGGCATTCAGTTGGCCAATGCGGGCAGTACAAATTTGAAAGTTCTCAATAGTCATTCAATTACTTCGAATACATGTACTCTTCTTTGATCGTTTCATTACTTTGTTATTACTATCGTGAGATGGTAACACAAAGTTTAATAACAATAAATAATCAGGCTCAAAACCAATGAGCGATTTTGAGGATATATCTGAGCGCGCGCGGAGATAAACAGAACTGATTTGTAAAACATTTCATTAACTGAAAATAAGGATATTAAATGAATTGTTGTACCTTTTATTTAACTTTATTATCAAGAATTTTAAAAATTCATTAAATTTCATTTCTTTCAAATAAAACATTCTTTTCTATTTCTATTTTTCATAAAAATAAGTAGAATAAACTTTGTCTTATTTAATTCATACGATTTGCAGACAATGAAAGGAAAAAACAATGTGTGTTACGATTCTTCCTTTAATTAAGACATATGCATGGAATAGCCGTTTTTTTTTACTCTACTCATACACGTATAAAAGTAGTCTTTCCTTGGATTTTTATTCATTGAGTCGATTTGATTTGTGTACATATGAAAAATTCTTATTAAAATGATTTGAGCGAAAGCGAACTAAATTATTGCTTATGAAATAAATTTCCACAATGAACTCAAGCTAGTCTGCATTTAAAACAGAAGGCGTCAGATGCTCTCAAATAAAAAGCTTGGCCGTATGAATTTGATGAGTATCTGAGTGAAAAATCGCTCTGGATTTTGTTGAAGAAAAGATGTTTCAAACCAACGACTGCCTTTCGGCAAACACCGTTTCCTGACAATGGTCAAAGCAGGAGGGGCACTTTTGAAAAAAGCGAGAAAATTTGAAAACTCTCTAAAAAAATAAGAGATCTCACTGATAACATATATCAAGAAAATGTTAAAGTTGGTTCACTTGTGGATTAACTTAGAGAAGTTTGGAGAAAAATAGAAAAGTTATAAAATAGTATTCGTTTTTCGTATATTTCGCTGGTGACAAAAAAAGACGAACCTAGTTAGTTGATGATCATTAGTTACCTAGACAATCGAATTTAGATCATGAATAGCACGTGGAAATGCTCAACTATTAATCACATCGCGAAGTTTCAATTACAAGAACTTAAACCAATAAAACAAGCAATGTTTTCTATACGATTTTATTCCTGTAAAAAATCGTTATTCGACGTATTTTTCTTAAATAATTTTCCAATTTATCTTTCCAAATGTTTTTGTACATTGTTGAAGGAAGTACAAAAATAGGAAAAACGAGTACAGGAGGCACAAATGATATAAAATATCCAATAAGCGCAAGCCATGGTTCACTCGCTGACTTCATACAACCAGCATAGAAATAAATAATAAGACGAGGTAATGCAAAAAGAACCAATAAGCATGCTGAAATAATTAAATCGTAATGTTTGTTAAATTGTTTACCGAGATATTTTGGAAAACTTTCACTATTCGCTTTTGATCGAACACGAGCAGTAAATATAATAATCATTAATGACGATATAATATTGATTGAAAATGGTAAAATAAAATGAAAAAACAATATAAAAGAATCGAAATTTCGCAGAAAGGGTCGCGAATCATAATTAGTTATACACCAAGTTCGTTTTTCTTCTTCTTCATAATACAGTTGTCGATGAACAGGATCATGAATACCTGTCAAAATTATTACCAACATAATTATTACAATAATATATTTTGCCACCTATAAACATCAACTTGACAACGATCTAACGAAATAAAACAAACCTTACTCGTTTTGTTTTCATTTGCTTTACTTTGACACCTCTTATGACCAAATTAGTACGTTCAATGGCAACAAATGCATTAAACCAATCAGCCATATTGAGAAAAATACGAAGTAAAAAATCCATTAAAATGCAATTCGTTTGTTTTAACCACAATGAAACAAGCATTTGGTATTGATTAAGAAATAACAGAACAAATTTGAATACAAATACAAATATTATTATAAGAGATGTAATTGATGTAGCTAAAAGATACAGTCCTGAGCTAAATTCTTGTACTTTTTTTGTTCGAAAAATGATGATAGAAAACAGGGAACTCATAAGACCAGTAACAAATAATATTAGCATAAACAAAAAACTCATTCTTACAGCAATTGTTTGGCGAAATAGACTTATTGTTGGTCGAATATGATATCCTAAAATAACATCTAATGAAGGATTAAAACTTCTCGTCGACAATTGACATCGAACACCATAAAAACACTCCTTACATTGACATACACTACTTGTTGCACAAGTTGGTGAATCAAGAAAACAATCAGCATCATTTAAACAATCATTATAGCCACTACAATTGCGAATTATGCTAAAATCATAATTAAAACAATTGGCTTTTCTTTCTGAATCGCATAAACACATAAATGTTGTCGAATCATAAAAACATTGAAGTTCAATTCGATCACGACACGCTTTATGATAGAATTTTGCACGACGAAGCGGAGGATAATTAACCACTATAGAGTTAAATAATTCACGTATATGAAAACATCGTTTATTACGAATGATTCGACTTCGGATGATTTGCGATGGTCGATAATTTCGTTGTAAATAAATAAGATAATAATCATGATCGAATTCGATGAAAACTATATGAAATTCTAAAGAAAATTGAAAAATAACAATTGATTGGTCAAATTTGATTTTCGATAATATTGATACGTGTTTATGACTTTTTTTTTTTTTTTTTATAAACGCTTTATTTATTTCTTATGACGAATTCGCCATTAGGCGCTGACCGTCTTATCATAAAGTGAGCTTCAAAGAGACAACGGCAACTGTAGAAAGAAGAAGGTATAAGTGAACATTAACAAGACTATGAATACTAATTTGCTGTATAGGAAGAAAGGAACCTTCGCATCGGGATTTCACGTGATTTAGTTCAAGACAAACTCGCATAGGCGATCGAAAAAAGTCGGTTCCTCATTATTAAGATATGATGTCATTCTCTTGTTTGGCCGACCCGCTGGCATGTACTTAATACTTGCTTTAATTCGATAATGATAATAGATCGTGTTCAATAAGAATTTGTATTGTAATGCATATTCCAAGAACACCGGTTCGTGCAGCTGAATATTTTTCATTCGTTTTACCAACGATTTTTTGTATCGCTTTTCAATCGTGGGCAGTTGAAAATGTTGATGTAAGTCTCCTGTAGGACATTGAAACAGACTGTGTATCAGTCTTAAGCATCGCCGATAAAAAGNTTAAGATTGAAGTGTTTAGATATGAGTGTATTTGTCCAGATGGTTTTTCAGGAATTCATTGTGAGAATATTCATCAAGTTTTAAATCGAAATATATACCAATTTCACAGATCAATGAAACATTCCAACAACAGTCGTACGAAGTGTTGAATTGAAATCTAAGAGCAACAATTTATGATCAGGAATAGTATTAATATAACAGATCCTTATGTAAGTTACTGTAAACTAAATCAATTATAGATATATTCAAATATGCACTCTTTATCTTCTTTCATGATAATTCAATAGGCAAAAACCAACCAACCCACCTACCATCATGGGAAATCACATTTATTCCCACATATTTGGATAAAAATTCAATTATTATCAGCTTCTATGCCATCCATCCATACATTCATTCGCCTACTTATTGATGGTATTTAGCAGATGATTAGCACTATCATTGGAATTTTACCACACACAGAATATCTACACCCACTTCAATCTTAACGAAAATGGTATGGCAGCGCCTACTGAAATACCAGCCCACACAATTTTCTTCTCTCAGCTCCTGTAAGATGAGTATAAATACCACAGCGCTTTTATATAAATCTTCATTCTATTCCATACATTTAGTAATATCAACCTCCTACCATTCACAATGGCATATCATCAAACTTATTCCAAACCATAATTCTTCAATATACAAAATGATATTCATACACATTCGACCAACAAACCTATCAAACATAATCAAAATCAAAGGTAAGACATCCCCTACAACTTACAATAGCTTCATTCTTTCGACCATAAATCAACCACATGATCATAATCCGAAAACTTCTATGAGAACCGGACAAAACTTAATTTTACTGAACCGCACTATGAACATACTGTAATTCACATGACTCCAATACGGGTATCTTTCCAATACAAAACACTACAAACGAAGCACCGTACACAAATCAAATCATTCTGAATTGGATTATTATTAATTCAATTTGAATATTTTTAAGCCATCTGATGATTCCCGTAGCGGGGATGATAATCTAGATCATGGCTGCTAATCTCGAATCCTGACCTAAGATATCCTACGTGCTTCCATCAAAGTGTCGCAAACGTCATCATATAGGTAAGTTGGAAAAAACTGATCGATGACAGCCAACAAAGAGCGCCATTCTCCGCTTTTTTATCAAATATTTGCTATACAAGTGAAGTTCACTATTCAAGCATGTTATGTGCGACGACACCGACTTTGCACGAAAAAATAACAAAATATGTGTGTCAATCAATTTTTCTTTCCCTCTCTGTGGATGATTCTTGTGACGCAAAAGACATACTGTATCATTGCCAAAAAAAAGAGAAGGATTGATGATGTTGTGTCCAGTCTTTTTGAATACGTACAATATTCAGTGTTGACTTCCTAATCAGTTTATGCTCGAATAATGCAAAAAAGAAAGTTTCATTATATCGTGTGGTCATATACCCTTATTAGGCATTAGCATGTATTAGGATCAACTATGATTTTTAGACTATGAAGAATGATCATGACTCTAATTTATATATCATTTGATAGCTTTAGTAAAGAGCTATCAAATCATGCTAAAATAATGGAAAAAAAATTATTGGCCGATATATTCTCCCATACTTATATTATATTATGTGTTTTTCATAGAATGACTATTATGATGATGATTCTGATATTAGTGTATGTGACTGAGAATTCACTTGATCCAATTCCACCACAAGTTCCTGCTGTGGCTGATATCATTGTTTTATTGTATCGTCGAATGGCATGGGGACGCAGCCCATCATTTCGATCATATATGTAGCGCTCATAACTACATTTGGACACATACATAGAACCATCTCATGATCATCAAATTGATGGTAAGTGACTTTGTGGATAGATTGAGGAGCCTTGCAATTACAGTGGCAAAGTCTCGCGTCACCTCCATGAGTGGATGTATAATATGGACTTTCGCGCTGATCATATTTGAGGTCACCAACACCTCCATGTAATGAACGTTTGTTAAGACTCTGTTGACTAGAACGCATGAACAACGACAAATAGACAATAAAAACACATGAAATCGTGCTTTTTGCCATCATGTTTGTTATAATCGAATATAGAAGTTGCTTTCGTTTGCAATGCGAGATGTTCACGTAACAGTCCACCCGTCGGAGGAAGTTTTTTTCGGAAAAAATGATCTAGGACTACAACTGTGTGATCGATATGAACTGAGTTTTCTGTGTTCTCCTAAAAACGTTGTCCCAAGCATATATCATTGTCAAACTCGTGTTAATAGCTTTTTAATAACAGAGAACTAGACATTAGAAAACGTGATTCTGTCACGACACATTTTCAACAGTATGATGTTAAATTTCAGAATTTTCAAAATATTCTTTTTTCTTCACATAGCTTGTCATCTAAACTACATTTTTGCCACAGACCGTTTTTTCCAAGTCGTATTGTTATCGTGAATTTTGAACTTTCTTTAAATTCAGTGAAAATGACGGTCTATTTTGTGTGATTCCGTCACGTTTTGAGGGCGTTATTTAACTCATAAATCCTCTGTTTAGTGTGATAAACGTTATTTGATCCCATCCTATGGCTCACACATTGAGAGAATCATGATTTCGCACCTCTTCAGAAAAATTAATTCCACAATAAAGTAATACCAAAATAAATCTCGTTTTCTCTCTTCTTTTCTTCGCTCTAATCCTTCTTTCATGGTTTTTGTATTTGCACTCATTTGTTTGTTACGAGAGAATGATGATGAATGGGTAACGAGTAAAAATATTTCTTCTTAGGGGTGCAACATTACTTTTACTTTTTATTACTTTTACTCAGTAATTAGTAATAAGTGTTATTACTTTAATCATTTATTACTTTTTACCAGTAATAAGTAAACAAAGAAAAGATATCTTATTGCTAGTAATAAGGTAATAAAATGCTTGCACGTAATAAAATTAATTAGGAATAAAGCAATAAATAATAGCGAGTAATAATAGAGCAATCATACAATATATGAAAATAGATAATATATATCCTCAGGGGAGGTGATTGCTTCCTCCTTTGTTATATTAATACAACAAGTACCTTCTCCAGAAAGTCTGTACGTATGATTGCTTTCTCCTAGATAAAATGGCCCTACTCATGTCCAGGCTCAAAGCTTCTACCGGGAGTACTCATCAGAGTAGTAATAATAAAATGCCAAACAAAACAAGGGTAGATAGGGAAAGAGTTCTGAGAGCATTTTGCAACACCGAAAATCGGTAGATTATAGGAAACTATAAGATCATCGTTCTTTAATACATCAGTAATATTGAAATTTCCCACGCAATGCCAGGCAATACAGCTAGTTTTAAAAATCAGAAATCCGCTACTCAACTAGGTTGACCCTTTGCTTTTTATTAAAGGATTATTTCAATCAATAGATTGGTGTATAAAATCTAGAAAGTATATTACATATAGCGATGTTGAACAAATATTGACAGCAATCTATGTTAGACTAATAGAATCCAAAGTTGTTGTGATGCATCGATGCAGAAGCGAATATCAAATGGGAGATTAGGAATATTTTCGCTATCTTCTTTATGTATTACTTGGTTACTTTTATTACTTTTTTACTTTTATCATTTTCCAAAATTATTACTTATTACTGGTAATAAGTAATGTAGCACCCCTAACTTCTTCTCTTACATCATACTTTCATTTTCATATCCTGTACTATTGAAGGTAACATTCAGAAATGTAACAATCTCGAACAACAACACAACAATAATAACTAGAAGTTCTGAATATAATTGAGGTTGAGAAGTAAAATGGATTATATGATTGGCTGTGAGATTAGCATTCAAGAAAGTAAAGAAGTGAGCTATAAATGAGAACAAAAACATCCTCACCCTTACTCTCGACAGTGAAAACCATCGAATAGTAAAAATACATACGAACAATGAGTATCGAATGCAAATTGTTGCAACTGCTAGCTATCATGCAAGTGTTAAGCACAATCAATTCAATGAACCATGAAGAGTTCGCTTTGATTCTAAAGGTAATTTACTCGTACTAGATTCGAACAATCATCGAGTGCAAAAACTTACAATAGAGAACAATGATTGCAATGTTTAGTCTTGAATAACATGTTTTATACGACAGAAACGGACTTCTCACCACATTTCTTAGTGATAGATAGGATTATATTTATTTAATGATAAACATTAATAAATAGAAAATTATTCGCGTGCTTTAATATAGCAACAACTATTCGAAGCCCAAACAGGTTGATGATTGTTGTCATAGAAAACTGCATTACCATCATCCTGCATTGCTAAATGGCCACGTTCAACATTCTTAATAAAAGAACAAAAGATCAGAATGTTAGACATAGAAAATCTTTTATTCATTTTTACCTTTCTNAGGAATCTATATTTGCATAGTTAGGAGGGATCTACAATTGCGTCTGAAGCAATAGAAGATCTTTTTTATACGTTAATTACTTAATAAAGTGGAAATTAACGGTTAAGTATAACCCGTTAATTGTTAATATTAACGTTAATATCAACCGTTAACGTTAATATTAACGTTTAACGGGTTACTGTTTACGTTAATTTCAAATTAACGGAAATGGTCCACCCCTACTCTACAACATGCTATATTTGGTTTCTCGTTTTTGAATAGGTCACCTTATCCGAAAAAGTCCTTTAAACGCTGTGATCAGAACTTTTGGTCAATCCTAAGTGAATTTGAAATGCCGCTAAAGTACTTGGGAATACAATGAAGTATGGTCGAAGAATGAAAATTTCGCTTTTTCCCCCTTGCGTACTGGTCTTTTCCCATCATTCTATGTGTGCGGTGCATTGAATTTGTCCTTCTATTCCTGTGGTGCGTCATAGGTTCTTTTCCTTCCATTTCTTCATATATATGGGGGTGACAAATTTGATTGGTACCCCATAGAAAATAATATTATTTTAGGGAGGAGTTTATAATGAATTTGATACCAAATGAAAAGCTCGTCAGAAATGGGATTTACTGATACTAAATAGTAAGGATTTTATAAGTTTTATAATGGTGAACTTAGAAAGTTTCGAGAAATCTTATACGCTAAAATATGTTAAAAAATTCACATTTTCTACACTGTAAAAAATAAGGGTTTATGACCAAGGCATAAACCTTTTTTAGGTTTTTGGATGTAATCTACCCTTTCATAAACCCTTTTTCTTCATAAACCTTGGCAAGAGTTTGTTATACGTTGCAAATTTATATACCCTTGTACTGTTTTCTGTGTGCATAAACCCTTTTTGGGTATATGAACGTAATAAACGCTTAGGCAAAGGGTACATTATTACGCGGTTTAGACACATCCATAGAATAATAAACCCTTTATCTAAGCATTTATTACGTTCACATACCCAAAAAGGGTTTATGCACACAGAAAACAGTACAATAGTATATGAATTTGCAACGTATAACAAACCTTTGCCAAGGTTTATGAAGAGGAAGGGTTTATGAAAGGGTAGATTACACTCATAAACCTAAAAAGGGTTTATTATTCTATCCTTACTTTTTACAGTGCTGTAGCTGTTAATTTTTTTCCACTAATAAAAGATTTACTACGTATACATGAGGTAGTGGAAAAGTCTATTTACCAGAAGAACCAGTACACTGATAGTAGAGTTGGACTTCCAGTATGTCAATGGGACTTAAACCAGCTGGTACTGGGCGAATTTGAGCTGCTGAGTTTTTTGGAACGATTGTTGCTTGTCCGTTGGAACTGAAAGCAGTACTGCCGTAATGCATCAGACTGTTATAATCATAAGGTGTTCCAAGTGTGTCAACAGATGTTGTATATTTATTGAAATTATGTTCCGTTCCTATAAATATATAACATAGTAATATCTCTAAAAGTTATATAGGTTTATCTTTACCAGGTTGAACATTTGCATATTGAATTGTCACATAGTTATCACGATCGGGACGAGACTGTTCATGCCAGAATCCTGTGACAAATGAATGCATTAATAATATTGAATAAAAAAGAAAGAAATATTAAACACCTAAAGTATGTAACAGTTCATGCAAAATCGTTTGTTCATGAATGCAACCATTGGCTAAGGTAAGTTCTTTGGTGCTATACCAGTTTTGTCCCACCTACAATTACGGATATATGCGCATAACATTTCAAAAATTTTCGGTTATCAGTTTACTTACAGTACTTGCACATCCACCACCAGTTTTAATGGTAGTAAAATGTTTATCGGTAGATATTTTTGGTCTGAATTGAATGCAGAGCTTGTTACTGATTGCGACTAGTTGTTCGAGTCGTCTCATTGATTTTACAATAACTGCTTCTTGTTCTGCATCTATAGAAAAAGTTTTCACTAAAAGAATCCTCAAGAGAAACATTTATTCTTACTGAAATCACCATTTCTTTCATATTCTTAATGAAAGAAAAAAAATTTTCACAATACAATCATTCAATTTATCGAATCTAGAATACGTAGAAAAATATAAAACAAGAAAAAGAAATATTCTCTTAAATTTGGTATGTCTTGAGAATGGATGTTAAGAAGATTTTAACAAGTAATGTACAGACTTGACTCATGCCAATTCGACATCGAGAGGAGATGCAACAATGAAGCAAAGAAAGAGATTAACTGGTTGTATCATGATTACTGATATGCATTGTGGATCACCTAGAGTTTCGATCGCTCATCATATGATAGCAGAGTATGCATGTGATGTGTGTATCGCTGTCGNTAAGTCGCTCAACTTCTCCAGCCACTTCCATTGCAAACTTCGTCCGTCCTATTTCTCCACCTTGCATTCAAGTCAAAGAACCCTTGTCACCGAAATTTACCAGTGAATCGTCAATTACGATGACAAATTATCAGACACAACATCGTCATTGTTCGCCACCACCTACAGTCGTCACAACGACTACAAATAATAACGATGAATCATAATTCTGATGCAGTATAAACAAAAAATATTTACTTGGCGTGGATAGGCAACAGTTAAATTTTGTAAAACGATTAGTATTATTAACGTATAACAGAAGAGAAAGTCCAACGATAACATCGTAACAATTACTGTAACTGTGACAATAAATGAAAGAAATGGTGATTGATTGTTATTTTTCTATTCTTTTTTTATACTCAATGAAAAGCAATTTTAGTTTTTTAATTAAAAGATTAAACTTCTTGGCGTAGGAATACGAAGTGCACAGTGGGATTCGCTAATATTCAAACATCTGCTTCAAATAGTCATGACTATTCTTTGTTCTTTTTTCATGAAGAGATTAATTCAACGAAGTCAGGGTCAGTGGGTGTGAAAGGGAGGAGAAAAAGTCATATCTTGAATCTGATTCTCACCCTCACACCCTCACCCTCACCCTCTGAGTTTCTATAGGTTTTAGCTTGAATTTGCTTTAAACTATAGAGATTTAGATGTTTCTAGTTGGATTTCATTCTGATTTGGATTATTTTCAAGTATTTTGATTTGATTTTGTAAAAAATTTTGAATCAATTTATAATTTGTTTATAATTCATATTGAATATTAGCCATCTGATGAGTCCCTTCAGCAAGGACGAAATCCGGATCGTGGCAGCTTGTGATCTTGTTTGGGGGCAATCCATATTATAATCAAAGAATGTTCGGAGGCAATCAAGGTAATCGTAGAAGATATAATTATAATTCTAACTACGATAATACTAATTATTATTATCAACAACCTAATGGTAGTCGTTGGAATGGTCATCGATATCAAAGTCGTTCTCGTTCTCGTTCTCGATCTCGATCACCATATATTAATGCAAATACTCGTTATTATGATTGATATTATTATAATCGTAATTATCAACAACGACAACAACAACGACGTACAGAAAATAATAATAATAATCGTCATCGTCCAAGACAATTAATCTTAGATGATTATTGGTCAACACAATTACGAAGACGAAATAATACACCTGTTAATGCATTACCACAACGTCCACAACGTGGGCAATCTAATAATAATAATAATAATACACAACCATTTGAAGTTAATCCAAATAATGGACAACCACAACGACCACCACCATCATCAACAACATCAACATTTAGACGTCGTCAACATCGTCAAGGTCAAGGACAAAGACAAAATCGTCTAAATAATAACAATAATAATAATCGATTTGCTATACTTGCTGATGACGATGAAATTAATAATAATAATGATGATAATCAAATTGAAGAAGAAGAAGAAGAAGAACAACAACAACAACAACAACCATTATCATTAAATAAAAAGAATAAGTTTAAGAAGAAGACGAAAAAATCTTCATTCTATCTTTCATATGATCAAATTTTTAAATATATCAGTCAATATCAACCAAATCCAAATTTAAATTCAACAACAACAACAACAAACCAAGATCCAAGAAGTGAATTCTTTAATTTATTACATGATAATCGTACTCTTGGATATACAAAAAATTTTATTCTTAATTGTGCTCCAATTTATGATCAATCAATATAAGAGCACAACATGAATTAAATTTATGGAAAGAATATAAGAAATTAAATGATGATTCTAATTTTTGGGCCAAAGAAATTATTAATCGTACTCGTGGACGTGATAATATTGAAATTAAACGTTTTGTCGATAAGAAAATCAATTATTTTCAATCAAAAATCGATGAATGTATAGCAATAATTTCAAATTTACAAATTGAATTTAGTCAATTTTGGACACAAATAGCATCACGTCGTAAAGAATCAAGAATTCCAACTCGTGGTGTTACACCAAGTTATTCACGTCCTTCATTTGATTTCGATAAAATGGATACAACATTAACTGATTACATTAATCAACATACTAAACATATTGTTAAAAATTGTAAAGTACGTCTTGAAATTGCAAATGCACAAAAAGAAGAATATCAAGCTCTTAAAAATTTTGAAACAATTACAAAAAAGAAATCATTATGGAATACTCATTTGATCTTGAAACCAAAATTAAAAAATTGGTTTATTAAAAGTAAAAATTTCCATATTATACAACGACGTATCGAATACAATCTATTACCTAAATTTATTACAAAAAATAATTTTTCATTTAAATTTGATACTCAAGCATTTCAACAAGAAGATATTCAACCTATTTATAATGAAATGCATCAAATAACAAATTCATTTCAAAATAAATCAATGCAATTCTATTATCAAATAGCTACTCGTGAGCTAAATAATGTTAAAGATGAAATTGATATTATCATTGAAAATTGTCGACCAAAATTACCTTTATTAGATCAAAATGTTATTATAAGTGAAGGTCTTGATGGTCAACCAACTGAAGACGAACATAATAATAATGATAATATTCATATAGATTATAAAAAATGTTATGAAGCATTTGAAAATTATTATAAATTATCTATGAAACGTTATCAATTAGAAGCTGAACAATCGTGTTATTTTTTAGAAGAAGAACGAGTTATGGACAACATCGACAGGCAAGAAAATGTCCTAACTCCAGCTCTAATTCTTCCTCCTCCTACAACAACAACTATGGACTTTTAAGTCCAAATATAATAAATGAAGCACCACATATACAACTAACCGAGGATGAACAACATATACTTAAATTAGGTCCTCGATTTATATTCGATGATCCGAAAACAGCATCTAAACGACGTACAAATGAATTGGCTACTCTAAGAAATAAGTTAGAAAAACGTTTCTACGAAAATAAAGTTAAGCCTGGTCGTCCTGTTCAATTATTTATAGATGAATTAGATGTATTTCTTCAAAATTATCATAATATTAAAGAAATTAATCCTCATATTCAACCGAAGAAACATAATTTTAATCGAATTGTTAAAAGATTAAAATATAAATTTCGTTCGGCTAATGTTATATTAAGAAAAACTGATAAATCAAAGGTGTTTCATTTAGCTACAAAACAACATTATCAAGAAAAATCAGATGAATATATGAATCGTACACAAGCTTATAAATGTCTTAATGATCAAGATCCATTACCAGATCTTATACAACCTACCAATAGATATTTATTAGATTTACGTTTAGCTCATTGGATAAATCAAAAATATTATGAGCAATTATATATTAAAACAGATGAAGTTAAATTAGCTCATCTATATTATCTCCCAAAAGCACATAAACCAGGTACACCACTTCGACCAATTATTTCTGGTTTAAAATATCCTACAATAAAAATATCAAAGTTTCTTGATGATATGTTAAGACCATTGTTTAATCAAATAGCTTCAAAAACCACAGTAACAAGTGGCTTTGAATTACTTCAAAAACTTCAACAATGGTCTACAACTAATCTTAAACAAGAAACAATATTTTGTACAAATGATGTAGTTGATCTTTTTACCATGATTCCACAAGTTGGAGGTGTCTTAGCATTAAGAAAAATGTTAATCCATTTAAAATTGAAAGAAGTGAATGGATTAAAAATCGAAACAATTATACGTTTGGCTAGATTCGTAATACAAAATAATTATTTTAAATATAATAGCAAATTTTATCATCAAGTTAGAGGTGGAGCTATGGGTTCTCCATTAACATTGACTATAGCTAATTGTTATATGTTCTTTTTTGAACAAGATATTGCTCGACAAATTAAAAATAGTCATGGTTTATATATTCGTTATATTGATGATATTTATATTGCTATTAACTGGCCAAAACATCATCTTATTAAACAAATTGATCGATGGAATGGTTTTGATTCCAACATTAAATTATCAGCTAACATCAATTTATTTGCTGATTTCTTGGATTTACATATGGAAAATAGGAATGGTATTTTACTTACTTCAGTATTTCATAAACCATCCTATGAACCATATTATTTACCGTTCTACAGTGTCCATCCGTTACATATGAAGAAGAACATACCATTTGCTATGTTAATTCGTGGAATTAGGTATTGTTCAACTTTTGAAGCTTATCTACATGAACGGGATCAACTAAGATTGGCACTACTTCTCAATCAATATCCAATTAAATTTATCGATCAAGAATTTAATCATGTTTTTTATAAATTTGATATTCATCAGCCATTAACTTCAAATAATTATAATGATATTCGTCAACTAATTTTAAATAGTCCAAAAAATATCAAACAACCAGTTAATTATGGTCAATCAATGTTCTTTCATTTTACTTATTGTTCCAATATGAAAACATTTCCTCGAAAATTTCGTGAATTATGGAACAAATACTTTTCTGAATCACCAATTAATGACATTATTCCAATGTTAGGCACTCGTAATGTCCCAAATTTAAATTTACGTCTTGTGCAGACACGTAATTCGTAATTCTTGAATATTCTTCATTAACCCTACTATTGACCATTTATTTTTCAATATATATTATTGACCTTTCATTCGTCAATTCTATTTAACCTATATTTATATTCAATATTATATTCAATTTAATATTATCCGCTTTGATTTAATTCATACATGGATAACTCATACAATACCATACAATATAATTGATTTTAATGTTATTTAATCATTGTTCAGCTCATTCGATACATATTATCGTTTAAATATTATATAGTCAAACTGATCATTTTATTTAATATATATACTGGTTGACACAACTATTAGTGATTGCCCCACAACCATTTAATCAAGCATTCGTTTATTTTTCTTTTTCTTTTTCTTTATTCTTTCTATTTTTTCAGTTATTTTTCATTTTTCATTTTTCATTTTTTTATAAATGCAGAGCCCTGAAGAGTGTTTCTTATTTTCAAATAAATACACGAAACGCGTCGGCGAAGCAAACATCTGCATTTATTATTTTCTAAGAAAACAAATATAGTATTTTTGTGTACTCAAAAAGTGAGTACACTACTAAAATCGGTCAGTGTGTCCGGCCGTCCGTCCGTCCGTTTACACGATAACTCTTCATAACTACATCCGATTGAGTTGAAATTTTCTACGCAGAATTGTCTCATCAATACCTCGGTCGAGTTCGAAGATGAGAGTGGTCCGCCAAGAATTAGCTGAGTTATAGGAAAAATTGTCATCTTTGATCATATCATCCCTGAGGGGGAGTACAGGGTTTTTTTCAAAAAAAAATTTTTTCTTACAACTGTTTAAAATATATATGAATCGACGGTTTTTAACGCTGATTCTGAATATGATATTGGTTTTGAATTATCTCGTAGTTTTCTAATCAAAAATTGGCTAAAAAAGTCTCAAAATGCACAAAAACCGTATTTTTTCCTTATAATTTAGTGGTAAAAGATGTATCTTGATGAGATTCATGTGCCGAAGAAAAATAAATACAGAATTTAGTTACCACGTGAGACAAAACCAAAATACCATCTACAGGAAAGTAATATTTCGTGGGATGGACGCAGTTTTTCGATTCAAACCACATCTTTGGGACCATTTAAATATTACGTAATCATTTTTTTACTATTTTTATCCCCTCGTCCCCCTATTATTATCAGACGTTATTATTTCTGAACCCCTTCCCCTATGTTACCTAATCATTACATTATTTTGCTCTTTTAATAGTGAATTATTTGTGAAATTGAGTAAAATAGAACATTAGATTTCATACATGTATTTATTTTCGGTTCCATGAAAGATGCTCTCGCGACAGTTGCTCTCCAGAAACATTTGCTCCTGAGGCCCAGATCTACCTCCAACGAAAACCGAAACTCAATCTCTGTCTCACTCTCACCCACACCTACACCTACATCCCCGTCCACGTATACGCCTCACCCTCACTCAGACTTGCGCCTCGGCTTGTACGCGCGTAACGCGATGACGTTTTGACTGTTAGCGTCAGCGATGATTCACTCTGACGCTAAACTAAGATTAAGATTTTCCTTCTAGTCTAATTGGCTTAGGATATCTGTCCTGATAACAGAAGGTGTGGGTTCGAATCCCACGAAGGTCATCTTTTTCTCTTTTCCTCTTCCTTTCGTTCTCGTTCGCTGATGACCCAGTCATTGCTCTAATATGAGCCTAACATTGACCGCATTCCTTTTCGTTTTTCTTAGTAACTAACTTGCTTAGAAACTCTGATTTTTCACGGGAAGGTGCATCACCAGCTACTCTCTTCAATGGCATAAAATTTGAGTTGATTTCATTAGATCGTTAAGCAACTGTATTCAAAATATTTGGCGAAACGCGATGACGAAAAAAGGACCAAAAATTTGAGGGTTCTACGCTTCATATTCGTTTTTCTTCGAATAAATTACACGATCGCAAATCTTTTTTCTCAGCGACTAATTGAAAACACCTTGGTGACGAAACCAGAAAAATAAGCACTGTTTTTCTCTACGAAGTCCTTCTGGAAACTCAGTAGATGTGAGGTAGGTCTCTCGTCCTTAAGGCCCACAGTAACTTTCAACTATTTTGTTTGTTGCACTATATAAGGTTATAGTAACGATATATAGATCCAAAATTTCAAACTCCTATCATCAAAGTTACACGTTACGCATACAAGCTGGCTTACAGTCGCATCTATCTGGGGAGCAACTGTCTGGGGTAGGAATGGCACTTTAACTTTAATAAAAGTATAGCAAAAAATCAAAAATAATTCTTAAGATTTGCTGTTCAATTCTATATGGTTTTCGACAAATATTTAAACTTTAAACTTTAACTTTATTAAAGTCAAACTGAACTTTAAACTTTAATAAAGTTAAAGTTTAAAGTTCGCAATTATTCTTGAAAACCATATAAAATTGAACAGCAAAGCCGAAGGATTATTTTTGATCTTTTGCTATACTTTTATTAAAGTTAAAGTTTTAAAGTGAAGACTTTAACTTTAAATGTTAAAGTTAAAGTGCCACCCCTAGTCCGGGGAGCATTATTCGGGTTACTTTATTTTCAAATGTTATTTGATGGGGAAGAATTTGATGCTAAAGAAAAACTGGATATTGTTGAAGTAAAGCTATGCTAAGTTTAACTTGTTGAATGAAGTGCAGCATTATTTATGTCTAAAAATGATCACAATGAATGTTGAGTATAATTTTTATAATTGTTGAAGATTTTTTTTTGCTAAATAATGGACAAGTAACGCTCGTCTACAAACTCGCTTAGTTCTTTCTCGTAGAAGAATTGTTTAAGGATTTTCACGCCTCAGCAAATAATTAAACAGTGATTATTTAATACAAAACGGAATAGAAAAAAAATTTAAAAAACTGACGTCAGATTCGAGTTCCTCGACCCCAAAAACCCTTCAGTCAACCCTTACAACGAGAATTTCTTTATGTCTTTAAGATGTTCTTTTGACTCTGCGGACACACAAGCAAGCAATCAAGCAAACAATTTATTCTTGCAAGACTCTTCTCTACGAGAAAGAGAATAAAAATTATGAAGGTGTTGATTTACATTCTAAGGTCATTCGATCATTTCCTTTTTCAAATTTTCATCATCACCCAACCGTTTCATATAATTCCATTCTTGATTTCGATTGTTATCTGATGCGTAGTAGAAAAGAAAGTGATTGAATATCAAGAGTTAATAGAAAAACATTTCACAAATATATTATCCTTATATATTTCAACACAAGATTTAATGAAACGATGATACAGAGATACTAGTTGCTTATTATTGAGTGAAATTATCTAACGTATAAAGTTTATCTCATAATTTAGTATCCTGAGTGGGATAAATTTGTACATTAAACTATTTTCTGTCCAATTAAGACGTTCTCTAGTTCGAATGACCAAACCGTTCACAAGATACGGAGGATATCCTAAGTTTGTCATCAATTCTTTTTATGCTTTTTGAAGTACACATAACTTTCGGATTCAATCCGAAGTTTCCGCATTTATTGACATTAATATCGATTACTGAAAAGTAAAAGTTGGAATTAGCAAATTAGTTTGTATTCTTCGATATATACAAGTTAATTTGTTTTGCTATTGATTTACCTTAAAAGGTTCAGCAGCTAGGCTAGAACTCTTAATGGTTCCATAAGACACCAATTTTTTTTGTGAGTATGCTACACTTCGATGCAATGGATATTTTATAAAAAATATTTTAGTTATTCTCATTTTATTCTAGACAAAAATTGTTGTGAAGCATTTATGTTTTGGTTACATTATTTTCAACAATTTGATCCAGATTAATCAAAACCGAAAAGAACAATTAAGTTTTTCGTTTGATTGAAGTTCTCCGGAGCTATTAGAGGCATTGGAGTCTCCAAAAATAGCATATGAAAAAATGATCTTTTTCGAAGTATCAAAAATTCTTCTCACGAAATTTTGCTTATTTTGAAGACAAAAAGTACACAATTAAAATAAGGTTTACTTTATAGATCGTAGAGTTTTGGAGATTAAAATATGAAATGCAAAATGCGGCCATTTATTATGGTTCATCCGTTATTTATCTTCATATTATGTATTCGCACTTCACATCAAATTAACAATGGTCTTGGTCGAACACCTCAAATGGGTATGACACTTTAGTATTGAATATGTAACTACTAACCTTTTTTATCAAAGGATGGGAGGGTTGGAATTATTTGGGATGTAATTTCAATGAAAAAGTCATTAAACAAACAGCAGATGCAATGGTCGGCACATGTCTTGCTGCTCTCGGTTATGAATATGGTCTGTTGATCTAATTAATATTGTTTTTTTTTGTATTTCAGTCATTTGTATTTATTGTTCTATTTTGGTTTCTAGTCCAAGTAGATTGTTGGCAACTGAGTCGAGATGCACAAGGTACTATTCAAGCTGATCCAGAAAAATTTCCAAATGGTATTCCAGCACTTGTAGACTATGTACATTCACGAAAACTTAAATTCGGAATCTATTCAGGTATAATAATCACATTTATTTATCGATTTGAATTGACATAACTTCTCTGTATACATTAGATGCTGGAGTGAAAACATGTGATAATCTACCAGGTTCATTACATTATGAAACAAACGATGCGAATACCTATGCGTCATGGGATGTAGATTATTTAAAATATGACAATTGTTATGATGATGGAACTAAGCCAGAGGTAAGATATCCAATAATGAGAGATGCATTGAATGCAACTGGAAGACCTATTTTCTATGCCATGTGTGGTATGTTCATTTAACTTTGAACAATCGTCTTACTTAATTATTGATTGTATTATGTTTAGAATGGGGTATCGATCAACCAGCTCTTTGGGCGGCAAATGTTGGAAACAGTTGGAGAACGACAGATGATATTCAAGATAATTGGAAATCAATGCTCAATAATATTGATACTGTAAGATTATTATAGATTTTGTAAATTTCTATACATTTTTCCATATTTAGAATAACGAATATTCTAATAAAGCAGGACCTGGTGGTTGGAATGATCCTGACAGTAAACAATCTTTGCTTATTCCTTATAAATATAAGTTAATTTAAAAAAGTTTAGTGCTTGAAGTGGGTAATGGTGGTATGACGGATGCTGAATATGTGACACATTTTTCTCTTTGGTCTATTAGTAAAGCACCGCTTATGATCGGATGTGATGTTAGTAAGATGAGTGCAGCTACTCTTGTAACTCTCTCAAATCCTGAAGTAATTGCTATTAATCAAGATAAGTTAGGTGTTCAAGGAAAGAAAGTTGCCTTTTTATGGTCAAAATCATCTAATTCATCAACAGGTGTTAATCTCGTTAATTGTTCATCACTCTCATCTAATGTTCAATCGACACGTCTTCAATGGAAATATAATCCTCAAGATGGATCAATTACGGATGGAAGATGTTTGTCCATCGAAAATTGTAATACTGAAGATGGAGCAAACATTGTCGTAACTGACTGTCAAATTAATGATCCACAAGCAAAATGTCAAGGTAAAAATCAACAATGGACAGTCAACACAACTGATCAAACAATCATTACTCAATTGAATGGAAAATGGTAAATAAGTTCCAGAAATTATTTGAAAAATAAATCGTAGTTTGTTTAGTTTGCAAACATTTCATCCTCTAGGACCAGCTGTAGATGTGCAAACATGTAACAAGCGTGACACTCAACAATGGATATGGAATTTAGTGAATGAAACTATTAAAAATAAACACAATAATGGATATTTAACTCAAGTGCCAGAACTCGAAGTATGGGCAGGTGATCTTGATGATGGTGCAGTAGCTGTAGTTTTATTTAATCGAGGAAATAGTGTAACTGAATCGATTACTGTCCAATGGAGTGATATTGGATTTCCTATTAGTGATTCAGCTCTTGTTCGAGATTTATGGGCACGAAAAGATCTCGGATCTTTTCGTTATAATTTTACATCACCAAATATTGATCCTCATTCCATAATGATGTTGAAAATTAGTCTCTTTGCAACAAGTGAAAATAACTAATTGACAAGTTAATTGAGATTATGCATCGTTTTTTTCTTTTATTGTTTTAAATAAATAATCATAGATTTCAATCTAATAAATCCGAATGTCATCTTATTTACATTGTCTTCTCGACATTCCATCTGTTTTCGATTAATCACATTGACTAAGATAGTAGCCAGATATTCCTCCTAATGATGTCGCTCGATTAATGTATTATCTCAATTGCGTATGCACAACAATTGATTGTAATGATGATCCTGATACGCAACGTTTGACATACTATCAAAATTGGGATCTTTTGTCCAATGAGAAACAAAAATTGCTCGTTGCTCTTTGCTAAAAGATTAGTCCAAGCCTACTAAACAATCAAGTCTTTTTTCAAAATGATGCACTTTCTATTAATTTTAACAATGAATTCTATGAAATTAATAAAGTACAAAATCAGCTGTTGGCTGCTCAATCAATTATTATTGCTGAGCGAACACACCAAGTGATACTATTATATTGGTTCATTGGAACGGCTCGCGTCACATCTTTATAATTCAACTTCCTCCGCTGTTATTTACACGCGATCTGCTTCTACTGTACAATCGAATTCAATGCCAATTACCTACACACAACCTGTTTCAGTAAAAGCAAATGATTCAAAAAAATACATTATCATCAGTTGTTGCATTCGCTGTATTCTATTTGTTGTCGTGCCCACGATCATCGCAATCATTGTTGCCATTATTAAGTGGAAAAAGTAAAGATTTTTTAAAACAAAATTTTCAACAAAGAGAAATAAGACAATTATAATAAATATAAATCCTAGATTTTCATTTCTGATCTCATGTTATAAACGTAAAAGAACAGTTTAACACCGTTGACTGGTAATTCTAATTGTGTCGTAACTGAAATATTAAATGTACAAGTGCATTGATCAGTTGTGATAGAATTCCATGAAGTATGCCACTGAATGAACTCGATGTGCTCATTGGTTAATTAATATATATATGAACTCTCTATCCCAAATGAATAGTTACATGTTGGGATTGTTCTAGTTTTTTAAGACAATATGGTGTGAATGAAATGATGTTTGTCGATTGCATTATGCCTACCATGTCACTAAACTCCCATTCAATTTACAGAAAGATTCACAATAAATCTGAATTTCGTCAGGTATTTTTTTTTAGATCACAATCTGTGAAGGATACAAGCAAAACAACTTGTCAATAAGATGAAGGTCCTGTTTTCTCATCTGTGGAAGATCTAGGCTTCACATTTGACCAACAGTAGCAGTTTTGTTTTTGGATCCTTTCGCATAACATTTGCCAGGGGTGGGCTCCTTGAATATGACACCAGGGACTTCTGTAATAGTCAAAGCGGCACCAGGATCTGGAAAGACCACTGCATACCCTAATGCAGTACGGCATTCACCTTGATTTATATGCCCCTCGATAGTAAGATCACCGACAAACATATCGGGAAGATGATCTAGTGTATCGTTGCCCGAACCCGTAATCATCACCGACGCACAATCTGAAAATAAAAGAGAGGTTATCATTTTTTACGAGAATAGATGAAATCTATATGAGCTACCTACTTTGAAACATTTCGGGACGACTTGGAGTCACTGCAAACCAACTCCTAGAAAACAACCATCATAGTCAGAGTTAGCCTAGGATGCCTAATGAGCGTGTATGGCAGACTCACCAAGAAAATAGCGCTGCACCAGCTCGGGTCTCTGCAGGTATATGAAAGAAGAATACTTGATTGGGACCAGCTCTTTCCGAACGAAATTTTACATCACGAGGACAACCGCCCTGATAAGTATGCAGAACTTTCCAGGTTTCTCCGTTATCGAACGACAAGGAAGCCTGGCAACTTCCCCCACTATGGGGAGCCAAATTGCCTTCACCATCGGACATATGATTGAGAATTCTAAACCAAACATTCAATTAGTTCATCATCATATTCATAAATCTTATCAAAATAATACTTACTCAAATCTTCCCATGCGACCTGCTTGCCAAATTTCGGTTGGTGCTTTATTTACTCCCGGTTGTTTGTGCAGATTCTTGCAGGGAAAAGGAAACGAGTTTCCTTGTATTCTCAAGGGCTTATTGTATTCGTTCCCGGATGGGTTTTCAGGGACAGCAGCTAAAGGTATAGGACGCCGAATTCGAGCATGAGCAAAAATCGATAAAATAAAACTGAACATGAAAAAGAGATCAATACACGTTTTCAAAGACATATCCTATCTCTTTGAGTGAAACTGATGAAATGGCGAAAGAATCGAATTGGTATCAGATTCGTGATCAAATATTTATATCATATGAGACAATATGCAATGCCTTTATAATCCTTCTACTCGCCCGCAATACTATTATATTTGGTAAAATTTGATGGAATAAATATCATGATTTTTGGATTTTTATGAGACAGCGGTTTGATTCGATTGGTCCTTGTCGCCGAGAAAAATTTTCAAATATTTGCTAAAGGCTTATTCGATGATAGTTGTGCCCGGATCGAATGAAGCGAAATGTTTTTATTTTGTTAGCAATGATATCAAAGACAATCGTAAAGGATGTCTAAGGTTACCAATGCAATTATATATAGATTTAATGTCAATTTCGATCAGCTCCCTACTTCTGATTCAAGCAAGTATAATCGGAATACATTCTTTTTTTCTCTGTTTTTTCGAACGTTCTCTTGATAGTGATTGTATGGGCGAGCGAGTGAAGGTGCTGTTCACCATAGAAGACTCATCGAATCCAACTGATGTAATTGCAAATGCCAAAGCCGTTGAAAGAATTCTTTCTCATTCTTGATGTTACGGTGAAAACTTTTCTAGGACCTGTAAATAAATGAATAGAGTGATCTTGTTCGGATAGGTGATGTAATAGAGATTGTCGTCACTATAGTTGTGATCGAATCTTAAGGGAAAATGGTTTTTCTCACAGTTTGTGAAAAGCTTGTCTCTCTAGAAGAAAGAACAGCTTTCTCAATGTCTGAAAAATTCGTGACTCAATGATCTCCACTGGTTACAATATAATTTTTATTAGAATTGTTTCAACGTTTGATAGACTTCGAAACATTGCACTCTCTTCATTCGTAGCTGTTTTTGTTTTCTGCTTTGGACCACGAGTTGTGTGACTGTAGACTAAGCAATGCCTTCGTCTGTCATACGAGCTTTACACCTTTCATAGAAAACGGCGAGTTGTTACGAGGAAAGAAGTCTCAATTGATAGTCTGCCTCGACTGTCCAGTTTTTGAGTGCTGAGAGTGAGGGATGCGAATACATTTTTCTTGTGTTCTTCAAATATTTGTTCGCCACGCGTATAAATAGGTGCTTTGATTCGTCTATAGAGGAGGGCGAACGGGAAGGATGAAATTAACGGATGACCCATACTAAATGTCCGCTTTTTGCATTTCCGTTTTCTGTCGATAAGTTCGCTCTACGCCGGACAAAAATATACCAAAAGATGCAGCGTCGAACGCTCTATAATCTAAAATGTGAATTCTTCTTTGTTCTTCTATTTTTCTCCTTTTAAAATCAATTTTTTACAGTTTGTGTTTTAAAATTGTACTGCAGAGCCCTGATGAGTTTTTCTATTCAAATAAAATGCACGAGACGCGTCGACGAAAATTAGAATCTGCATGTCCTTATAATAATCTACAAGTACAACTATTAATAAAATATTTTCTTCGATAAAAGAATCGATTGCTGAAAAGCATGAGTTGAGAGTAGCAGATTAAGTTTATCTTTTATTCAAGAGATAGATCAGTCTGTTTTCATTTGAGCCCAAACAAAGTTCGGTTCAGTGAACAGTGTTTCGCGATTTTCCTATAAATAAACACATACATATGTCAGGGACAAAACTGAAATTCGAGTTTTGACCTGAAGTTTTGGAACGAAATTCTAATTCTATTTCTATCCGGACGCAATCAGAATCCCAGTTTCGTTCGAGCAGAATTAGAACTGAACGGAAGCATCAATAGGATTAAAAATACTTCGACTTGCCGCGAAATAGCTAGATCCTCTTTCGTCTATTGAAACAACCAATTTTTTGCCATTGCCGTTATGATAACTGGAACTAACACTCAAAAAAACAACAACAACGAGAATATTCTGCATTCTTCGATGAATCATTCATACGGATCCTCCGTTCAGTTCTGATTTTGCTCGGACGAAACTAGGATCCCAAATCTATCTGAAGGTATTGTAAGTTTGTTCAAATCTCAGTTTTGCCCCCGACCTATATCTCTATGTTTTATGGATGAGTGACAAAGGCATAGTAACTCTGGTAGCTATTTCCATCGCTAGTAGTTTCGAGTATAATGTCCTTGGTGAGTGTATTTCGACTAATACTCGTAAATCACAATTTAGTTTCTTAATCTTTTTTTATCATGAAAGTTACCAGGTGCACTGCAAATCGCTTATGACTTGACGCCCCGTCACATACACTGTGTTGTTTTCAGTCGTGAGCAAAAGTCTAGTGTATATAAACTCTCGTAGATTGATTATTTTTCACTTTGAAAGAAAGCTATTCCTGTCATACTGGTGCACAAAATGATGAGCATGTTTCAAGCCATTCCTCTGTACCTTTCCATTATCTTAATTCTAGTGAAGATATCTCATGGTGAGTATTCGTTTCCCTCTCTCTGGACAAAGCACGGACGTATATGTACTTTTATTGGCAGGACAAGATTGTGCAAGGGTTGGTTGCAGTCCTGGCTTCTGCTGCTCCAAATGGGGCTTGTAAGGATATTTCTCATTGCAGATTCATGGTTACAACTTCTCTCTGATTTTCCATTCTAGTTGTGGCAACTCGCCTCTTCATTGCGGTTCCGGTTCGACGACAACAAGAGCGACAACGATCACAACTAGAACCACGCCAAGTGCGATTACCAGGACTACGACAACAACGACTCAGAAGACTACTACATCTGGTATTGGTTCGGAGACGAATAACAAGATCACTCGAGAACAGTTCGACTGTATCTTTAGCAAACTGAGTGAAGATGTTAGAGACAAACGCTGGCAAGGTATTCGTTCGAAGCTGACGAAGCAAATAAATATTCTCTTCTCTGGATGTGTTCTAGGTTATCAAGAGGCACTGTCGATGGTGTCATTCAAACCCCAAAATCAGAACGAACTGATCATGTTTTTTGCACATGTCTCACATGAGACGGATGGCTTACAGACATATGAAGAATATTGTGGAAAGTCGAAGGAATGCGCTAGCAGTTATGAAATTTCCTGGTGTGGGCCGGCCACCGCAGAGCCGGGCAAGCACTATTACGGTCGCGGCTGGCTTCAACTATCCTTTCCATGTAACTACAATGCAGCTGGCCAAGCACTTGGTATTGATCTCCTAAAAAATCCAGAGAAGGTTGCCGAATCGGATGCAGTGGCCGCTGCGGCTGGCATGTGGTTCTGGGATGCTAACAATATAGGTCAACCAGCACGGCAAGGAAACTTTGGTGCTACGACTCAAATCATCAACAGTCTCGAATGTGGACCAACGCCACAACAGACCAAAAGAATCAGTCGATATCAAGAAGTGCGGCTCTGCTTCGGTCTCAAGAGGGACACCGAGAATCTACACTGTTGAGCAAAGATCTTTTCTTTCTTCTTTCATGTACCACGGTTTCTTTATTGTAAACTGACGAATAACATACAAAGATCGAATCAACAATGAAAGGCAGAAAACAAAAGTTAGACTCTGTAGCATGAAACTGGACAAGAAGGGCTTTCTTAGTCTAAACAGAATATTTATACAAATGTCCTTGGGATAACGTCCGTCTAAAAATGTTCTCGTATTTGTGTCCTCGTGTATAATGTCCTGTAGATAAATGTCCTCGACTTTAATGTCCTTTCAACTAGAGTCCTGCAGGGCAGGTTACACCAGCAGCAGGGCAGCACAGGGCAAGGTTATGAGAATTTTTACAAGGCAGGTTGCAGGGTACTAATGACGTAACCTGTCATTAACCTGTGATAAATTTTACACACCATATACTATTGACATCTTTTGTAAAATTATACAGAGAGAAAAGAATAAAACTAAACAAACACCATTCAAATTGATCCGCATAAATATCCAAAAGAAACGTGAATGTCGCTAGTTTAGTTTATTCTTTACATACACGTATATACTAAGATGTACATTAAATTTTCTAAATTTAACTACTATCTTTCTTTTCTAGTATTCTTATTAACACGGTCAGCTACTCATTTATGAATCATTATTAACATTGTAAATTTGGAACGTTTACATGTTGTCATTAACATAATATTAATCTTTTTTATTTGCATTATCAATATTATAGTATATATTCTTTTTTATTGGAATTTTGATATTAGTATACATTCTTTTTATTATTGTTATTAATAACATTCAGATTTTCTGGTTTTGAAGTATCATCTATGTCAGATTCCAAAAAAGATATGGAACGAAAAAAAAAGGAGGTGATGAAGAAACTGAAGAATGGTGAATTTATTGCTAAGGCAGAACCACCATCTTCATCGCATGGTTCATTTTGGCAACATTTATTACGTGTTAAATCTTCCAATGATGAATATCAACCATTCGTTCAATGCCGATTATGCAATGACATTTTATCATATTCAATTTCTAATGGAACTTCTACCATTAGTTATCATGTTAAAAATTGTCTTGAAAAATCAAATCAACCAAAGAACAATTATACTCTTGATAAATATTTAAATAAACCAAATGAAGTTAATGTATCAGCTGATGATAAACGGTCAATTACAGTAGCCTGTGCAAAATTTTGTTCATTTGATATGAGATCTTTCAATATTGTAAAAGGTTCTGGTTTTACATATTTATGTCAATCATTACTTAATCTTGGCTATCAATATGGTGTTGCTAAACTTGGTACACCTTCATCAACATCATTATTACCTGATCCAACCAATATCGCTCGTACTGTTTCTCGAATATCAGAAGATTACCGAAAAAAATTGAAAGATATCCTGAAGATTGATTTACAAGGTGTGAAATTAATAGGCATATCAACAGACTATTGGAAGAATAGTGGTACAAGTGAGAGTTATTTAACAATTAATGTTCATTACTGCAGAGATGAAGAAAATATTACTTACATGTTACATACTTGCTTATTCGAACAATCAAAAACAGGTGATAATACAAGAAAAAAAATCTTTTTTATCTTGGCAGGTTATGATATTGATCCAGACAAGTATCATATAATCTACATAACAGATAATGGTTCAAATCTTGTTTGTGGCTTGAGTAAGTGACTTATGCATGCGAATTCATTTTGCATAATACTTCTTTTGTTTAGAGGGAGAAGTACATCTTAGATGTATTTGCCATTGCTTGAATTTAGCATTACATAATGGTGTTAAACTATGTCCAAACTTAGAATTGTTAATTAAGTCATGTCAGGAATTGTGTAGCCATTTTAAACGTTGTGAAATGAATCAATTATTGCCATCTAGTCTCAAACTGAATGTTGAAACTCGTTGGAACTCGATTCATGATATGCTTGAATCAATATCATTGAACTTCGACAATTGTGAAGATCTTTTGTTGGAACGAGATGAAACACATTATTTGCATAATATTAATCGAAAATTAGTTATAGAACTCGAGAAATTTTTATCATTATTCAAAGTAGCAAGTGAACAATTATCTGCTGATACTTCACCGACACTACATCTAGTTGTTCCTTGGTTTTGGAAATTAAAAGGTTCTTGTACGCTTAAAGACGATGATCATTTATTATTAATTCAACTTAAAAATGCTGTTTCAAAGATGTTGGATGAGAAAATTCATTTGACATCATTACATTATATAGCTACATGTTTATATCCTTCAACGAAAAAGCTTCAAGTAACCTGATTCGTTTCTAGCGCTACATCAATCTTATATCCTTGAAATTTTATTTTAGATATTAGATGATAACTATCGAACTGAAACTTATGCTGATATTAGAAAAATAATGATAACACTTGATATTCGTGAAGAATGCTTATCTTTATCATCTGAAATGAACTCTAGAATTACCAACAAACGATCAAAAAAAATGAAAAACAATCATGTTGTAGAAAATGATGTTATGGTTGAATTTGCTGGAGATGTCGAGGAAGACTCAGATGATGAGTCAGACGAACTAGATCGTTATCTTACAACAAAAACTTCATTCACAAAAGATGATACATTATTAAAATGGTGGAAAAAACATTCTCTAATATTTTCACAACTTGCTATGCTAGCAAAATCTTTATTTGGAATTCCAGCAAGTTCAGCAACATCAGAACGTGTTTTTAGTTCGTTTGGAAGGATTTTAGAAAAACGAAGACAATTATTAAGTCCAGATGTTGTCGACGATATGTTAATGATTCGAAATTTTCGAGATATGTGATATTGTTTTTGTTTATATTTATTTACTTTATAATTTGAGATAGATGAATAAAATTGTGTAAGAAATTGTATGAAAGTTCAAGGTTTTCTTATAATGTGAGACAGGGCAGGGCAGGGCAGGTTAAAGGTTACGAAAATCTTTGCAGGGCAGGGCAAGGCAGGGTACGCGGAAAATTCACAGGGCAGGGTAGGTTGCAGGTTGTCAAAATCTGAGAAGGGCAGGTTACAGGTTGCCAAAATGTCTTGCCCTGCAGTACTCTACTTTCAACAATATTCTACATGATTTCGTATCTATCGAAGTGGGTACCACGCACAATATCATTGTCCAGATCACTAGCGGCACGAAGACTCGCATCAAACGACCAAAGACCCAACTGGTTGAACGACGGATAGAAGAGTTATACCGGTAATTCGATATGCATCAAATTACAGCGCGCGAGTTATTACGTGGTCTTTCTCTTTTTGTGGCGTACAAAAAATAACAGAATTTTTGTCCGTTACAATCTATTGCATCTGATTTTTCATTTTCTTATAAAAATTTGTTCATACATACCGCAATTCAGTTTTAACATTGTTTTGATTCTTTTAGAATTAAAACATGACCATTTGATGATCCTCGTTGCTGAGATGCAATGTTAACATTATGGTTGCTTCATTCACCCTCACCCTCAATTTATTCACTCGATTCTGCATCTAATTTCTAGTGTTGATATGAATCAGGATAATCGAATGGATCTAGTCGTCAGCAATAATGGAGCTAGTAATATAGGTGTATTTCTTGGATTTGGAAACGGCTCTTTCGTACAGTCAACCATGTATCGAACTTTATCGTTTTTGTCAATTTCATTTGCAACAGGCGATTTGAACTAAGATCATCGACCAGATATGGTAGTGATTAGCAATGATACAGGTTCTATTGATATTCTTTTAGGTAGTTTTGAAGGTTTTGCAGATCAATACGGCTATCGAACAGGCTCTAATTCTCAGTGTGTAGTTGTTGGGAATTTTGACAACGACGCTCAATTAGATTTTGTCGTTGTGAATCGCGGAGCGTCGACTATGAGTATCTTTCGTGGAAACGGTAAAGGCTTATTTCCATGACTGATCACATATCGCACCGACTCTTCTCCTGTATTTGTAACTACTGGTGATTTCAATAATGATAGAGGGTGAGTACCGGGTGGGCCAAAAGTAACATAACAAAGATTCTCTTCAATTTTTTTCTTTATACATCGTCAGTTAGATCTTATATTTATACCACATATACTAGGTGATATAACTCAAATGTGCAGCATATTATCATTATCTAGATGTGACAATTTGTTTACAAGCGTACAAATACAAGAGTACTTACATATGTACTAGCGACGGCATCTATAGACAATAGCATAAGTGGTTTAATCTTCCATCCACTGATTCATTTTTGTTTCCTTTGTATTCTGGACTTTCGGCATAGTCTTGACTGTGAGCTTTATCCAAACATTTTGCGTGTTCACATGTGCGATATAGTCGGATAAAAATAAGAGATAAACGACCATTTCAACCTAATAATGCTTAATCTTTTTCAGATTGTTTTTAATCATAAGTGAACGCTCTCGTCTGTCCACAGCAGAAAGAATTGAGATTGTCAAGCGGTATGCCATTCACCAGAATGCAGCTGAAGTTGCTCGTCAGTTCCAGGACCGTTACGATCGAGCTCCTCCAGCTCGAAACAACATCTTGAATCTTGTACGGAAGTTTGACGAAACTGGAAGTGTCGAAGATGAACCCAGATCTGGTCGACCTAGATCTGTTAGCACTGACGAAAACCGAGAACATATTCGTGTCGCATTTGAAGAAAGTCCGGAAACGTCAACTAGAAGAGCGTCACTGGGGCTGAATCTGTCTAGAACCAGTCTTCGTCGGATGATGAAGGAGCTGGGATTGAAACCCTATCGTCCTCATCTACTACATGACCTAAGCGATGATGATCCTGATCGACGTTGCGAATTTGCCGATATTTTTCTGAACTTGGTTGCTGACGATTCTTCGTTGTGCGACCGAATTGTTTGGGCCGATGAGGCTACTTTCAAGTTGAATGGACACGTCAATCGACACAATTGTGTTTACTATGCTGTAGAAAATCCTCATATCGTCATTACGCAAGATATGAATGCTCTGGGAGTTACTGTATGAGCAGGAATTTGGTCTGGAGGCATTATCGGTCCGTTCTTCTTTCGTGATACTGTGACTGCACACAGTTATCTTGAAAAGCTGAATAAAGAAATTCTTCCTGCTATTGAATCTCAAATGAATTTAAGAAAAACATTTCACATGCATGATGGAACACCGGCTCATTATGCTCAATCTGTTCGAGACTTCTTGGATAGAACGTTCCCCAATCGATGGATCTGTCGACGTGGACCAATTGATTGGCCAGCACGGTCTCCGGATTTGACTCCGACCGACTTCTTTTTATGGGGTTTCATCAAAGATCGTGTATATGGAACAAAACATCGAACTATTCAAGCGCTGAAAGATGCTATTATTACAGAAATACGAGACCTGCCGATGGAATTTTGTCGAAGAGCGTGTCAATCAGTACCTGAGCGATGGCAACTTTGCAAAGACTTAGAAGGTGAACACATCGAGCAATATTTGTGAAAAACTTTAATGTTAAAAAGACCCCACAGATATGTATTGTTTTAATAAATGTTTCATTAAAGCTCAGACTTTTTATCTTAATTTTGACCGCCTTGTGATCGAATGCTTTTGAACAAATTACTACACCTAGACACTGATAATATGCTGCACATTTGAGTTATATCACCTAGTATATGTAGTATAAATATAAGATCTAACTGACGATGTACAAAGAAAAAAATTGAAAAGAATCTTTGTTATGTTACTTTTGGCCCACCCGGTATATATATATATATATACATTTGTGATGAAATGACTAGTAATTCTAAGTTATTCGTAGAATCAATTGCCATGCTAGATTTGAGTAGAAAATCAATTATTTTTATCAATACATAAATCATTTACACATACTTTTAAAAATATGAGTAAGGTCAGGTTGATCTTTATGTTTTAAATAGCAGGAAAATTTTTCAGTCGAACAAGCAGTGTCACATATCCGGAAATTTGGAGATGTCATCGCTTCTACTTACGGATCAAGTGATGCTGTGTCATCTCCTCTAGAAAACGTAATTATATACCACTGAGAAACATGTGATCTTCTTTATTAGTGTATGTCTCTCACATTGATATTTACATCTCCTATGATACATGCTGCATTTTCTAAGAAACAAATTGACACATCTCTAATGTTTGAGATATGTGACATTGCTGTTCATTTTTCAATCTGTCACGAATCGATTGCAAGAATGAGATTAGCAGGTTGAACTTATGTTTATGTTACAGAATAGAATAACTTGGATCTAAATAAACTTTTCCGTCTAAATTTCTAAAAGAAAAACATTGAAAAGGCCAAGGTGACCTTTATTTTTTTCACTATTTTTGACAAAAGGTCAACTTGACCTTTACGTTTTTATAATTTGTACATTCATAAATTAGAATAAAAACAAAGAAAAATCTTATGATTATCTTCTCAAATTGATGTTACTAATAAAGACAATTACAACGAAGGTCAAAATAATGCTAAAATTAATTGTCACGTTTCTACTTTGTTTTTACATTCTTGCATATAGACCAGATAAAATACCATAACTTGTCCTTCAAATACAAATATTTTAAGAATACTTGTCTGTTTTTCTGCGTCGTCACATAATTGCACGTCAACATTTTTGGATAAGGAGAGATGCATTAGAATGGCATGTAATATCAAAAAAACAGATAATCCCACTGAAATAGTTTTCCTTCCCACATAAATATTTCATCTCCTTCTACCATCTCAACCTAATTGTATATAAACGAGATTTTATTTCATAATCCTTACTCAAAAGATTATGAAAAGGTTAGTTGCTTTTGTATTCTTTCTGTATTACTTTAGTGTCTCTTCAATATTTTAATATACTATTTGTTCCAACACAATTATCACTTCATTTCTACTTTTACTTTATTTCTTTTGTAGATAAATAGTCCTGAAGAGTACTATCTCATAAGAGATACGAAACGCGTCGGTAAATCCACTCTGCATTTATTTTTAACTCATTCTTAAATCTGTCACTGATCGGTTGCTGAAAAGCAAAAGTTGGGATTAGCAGATTGATTGTATCTTTTCGTTAAGAGATAGGATCGGTCTGTTTTCCAATTGACTCACCCTCACCCTCAAGATAGTGATTCTTGAATATTCTCAATAAACTCTATTACTATACTATTGACCATTTATTCTTCAAATTAATTTAATATAAATTATTGATTCCATTCACATTTGACTGTATTACTATTATTGACCTTTCATTCGTCAATTCTATTCAACATATATATTTCTATTTAACTTTATATTCAATTTATTATCCGTTTTGATTTAACTCATATTTGGATAATTCATACAGCATTATATTTCTTTCAACTTATCCATATTATTGTTATTGAATTATATAATTTCTTATATTAATTTGCTCATTGTTCAGCTCATTTGATTCACATTACGTTCAATTATTACATAGATTACTTTATAAATATTTAGATTATTTATTTCATTTAATATCTACTCATTGGTACAACTATTAGTAATTGCCCCTCTACCATATAACCAAGCATTCGTTTATCTTTTCTTTTTCTTTATTATATTTTTGCCTATTTTTTCAGTTATTTTTGATTTTTCATTTTTTTTTTTTTTATTAATTG